GCACTACTGTGTCTTTCATGCAGATGATCAGACACCAAGATGTACAAACAAAAAATTCAGGATAACATGCACTTCATATACATTTGATCTCTTAAAAAAAAAAAAAAAAAAAAAGGAAAAAATCTGAAGCGCAATCACCTCTTCAATCATATAAAAAGAAACAAAGTAAGAAGCCAATTTTTACAGTGAGCACAGTGCATTTTAGTCTTTTAGCTGCCTGGTCTTCTAGCAATATGTCTAATGCTTGTCAGTGACCAGTGAGTTACCACTGCAACATGACTGGAAAATACGAAAGCAGTTGTTCAGACAGTAAATGTGCATGGGCAAGCATAGAGTCTGAAGAGGTTCACTGTGCACTCCCCACTTCCAAACGGCTGGTTACTCCTTATGACTGGTGCCCTGGGATTCTCTCCTTCCTCTGGACGCTTCTGCACCAGGGCCTGAACCCGCTTCCACTGGTGTCAGTTACAAAGCTCCCACTGAAAACCTGGCAGGAGGCTCAGGCTCCTGGGTTATGTGGGTTGGACCCAATCTCATGAGCTGTGAGCCCTCCTCACCTCTTCTTCCTTTGGAAGAAGAAACCTGCCCAACTCAGACCAGGTTTCACAAACCCAACGGCTTGTTCTTAACACAGTCCAAACTTTCCACAGAAGCAGGCAGCCCAAGGCACTAACACCAAGCCTTCCAGTTCTTACTGTTCACACATCTTTTAAACCATTACTTACTGCCTACAGCAAAAGTACCACAGTTAGTACTGCCAGTTCAGAAGAGAAAGCTCATTTTATAACGAGGGATTGGAGGACTCAGAGACATGATTAAAGTGTCACAACTTTGAAAAGCCAGTTCTACAGGTGGAAAAAATACTGTAAAATACATATGGGAGGTTAATGAAAGGGCTTGTGCAATCTGCAGACAACCCACACTGCACTGTGGTGAGTGGATAAGCCACCTCAGATGTCACTCACAGTTCTGCTCAAAAACAAGCTGCTGAAAGCGCTGTAACAGAAATCAGAGTTAGGGTTAAAAATATTAAAAAGGGTTTCCTTCCTAGAATACTGACACTCCAAGAAATCAATCCTACCAACCTCCCAGCCCAAAAATCCAAACCAAGGACAACCTGCAGAAACACCTGCAGAGGACCATTCTGTATGTGGTTTTAACAAAACTTTTAAATCTTCTGATCTGCAAAATACATAAAACCCCACAAGAAAAGAGTGAGCAAAGCCACAGGCACAGCCAGGGTTGATCATGCTGGTGAGACCAAAGGGTAGCACTTAGCTCCTCCCAGGCTCCTCTGCCTACAGCGCAGACCATGTGCCTACAGCACTGTAACACAGAGCTACCTGTGTGCTGACTGCTACTGCTGCAATGTCAATCTGTATGAATATCCACGTATGTATCTATGTATGTATACACACAAACCCATACTTATTCATTTAAAGAGGGAATCAAGTCACAAATCACTTAAACATGTCTAGAAAGACTAACTGATTTCATTATTTTCCATCACTAATTTAATAAAACTAAACCAAAACCATATAACTGCTCTATGCACTCTGCCCAACTCGACTGTTAAAGACTTAAAACTTAATTATGTGCTGGTTTTTTCAGTGTTTTGGACCATGACATAGGTTTCCTGAGGTTTTCAAGTGCTATTAAAAGGGTCCAGCCCCTCTGTCACTTAGTTTGATGAAAGTGCAGGGGACAAGGTCATACCTAAAAAGAGTAAGATCAGGTTTTACTTTTGCCTTGACAATAATTTCTCACTGTAAACACAGGGCTCAGAAATGAACAAAAACTTAATTCTTGCAAACTTCCCCTAAATTTCAGCAGTGGGAAACAGTGCAGATTGCGCTGCAGATGCTGTAAAGAACTACAGCTGAAACTGTGTAAACCTTTCCTTTTGATTTTCAGTGTTGTGTTGGTACCTGGAATGGTACTTCTTGACCATAACCCAACTAAATGATGATCCTCTTCCATCCTACTGTAGCACTGGATTCTGCACTATTGAAAAAAGTGGCATTTCTTTCTCTGACTTAAAAGTGGAACACAACTCATTATCAAAAATCATACAACATTGGCCACCTCTTACTTGCCAGTGTGTGATCCATGAGGTGAAGGTGGAAAAGCTCAGGAGGACAGGAGGCTTTGAGGGAAGTAGTGATGTATGAGGAACCATGATGCCCAGTGTAAAGCACCTCTGAATGTCACTAAGAGCTGAGGACTGGCAAGCTTCAGAGGAAAGCTGCTCAGTAATTCTAGTAAAAGCTCAATTCTTGTGGTATCCCTGCAGCAGACTCGAGTCTTGACACAACAGATGCCTTTGCAAAAAATTTTAAGAAGTTAAAAAACTGCAAAAGCATTTGTACAGATTGAGATACAAACATCACCTAACTCTGTCCAGCTTCTTATTACTGGCTTCTCTTCCACTGTGCAATTCTAACCTATGATCTAGAACAGGCTCTGCTTCCTGTGACCCCCACCAGGCCTGCTCAGAGCGGCGGGTGAAATGCAAACAGCAGCGGGCAACACTCGGTGCATTGCAATGAACAGGTTCAGCTCCTTCCTCACACCCTGGTCCTGATGTGCCCGGGCAGACTGAAACTGAATTGGGAGTTTTAACACAGAAGTTGCCTGGGTGCAGCACCCCACCACAGGACAAAATACAAGCTGGAAGTGAGTAATGTCAGTATGTCTGGCTGATTCGGACAGAGCAAGGAGCCACCACTCTCCACAATCCCAGTATAAACACTAGGTTTTTTAGGACTAAAGTAACCTGCAGTGCTGTGTTCTTTTATTTTTTATTTTGCAGAGTTCCATTTTTTGCTAACTCTCCTTTCTTCTCCCCTTCGGATGCTCCATCTATTCACAACCTGGCAGTACCGCAGCAACGAGCAGAGCTAGAGTTTACGGAACTGGTCTACCATCGTAAGCAGGGAGAAGTTAACTTCACCAGCCTGCTGTGGTCACCTATGTGTAAAGATGACACAGATGCATGGCTATAGGCATGGAAACACCACAGTGCCTGCATAGTGATTCAAAGGCAGTCCGGCTGGTCAGCATACTCAAAATTGCTTTAGCTCCACAAATAAATATGCAAAAGTAGGCGACAGTTACATTTGCAGGTGAGCCAAAAGAGAAAGTCCTTCCAGTCATTTAGCATGGGATATTTGTTTCTTCTTATTACATCAAAACCCCACATTAGTCTGACTTAGCATTGATTTACAGGAAGTTGAAGTTAAGAATGATGAGACATCCAGATCTTTTGTTTCATATATGTCATTACACAACACAAGGGGAAAAAATATAACACAACTGTAAAGGTTCTATAGAACATTCGCACAAGTTTCAAACTGTGCTTTACATCTGTTACTGACATTTCTGCACATCCCAACAATGAGTTACCATACTCAACAAAAGGAACCACATAAATCTCTTTCGTCACAGAAAGAAGAACAAAACTCTCGACATTGCTTGGTTTGCTTAGTTTTCATGTGTTGATCAAAATGCATTTTACAGTTTCATTTTAAATTTAAGCTGCTAGGTTATTTCCAGTTAGGTTTTTGTTGTTTTTTTTTTTTTATTCTGAGAATAACAAAATAACATTACCAGAAAGCAATTAAAAAACTCTGAATACTTAAAGGACTTAAGCTGAATTAGTTGTTCTGCTGAATAAGATTCTGATTTACAAAGAGATTAACTAGGCACTGTTCTAAGTAGCAAGAATGAAAAACTTAATGTATAATGCCAAGCAGTCTGCTCAGATTTCTAAGAAAACAAAAATCATAAAACAGGGACGTCACCTTAGACTACTATATACAACCACTTAAACATTACTACAATGTAAACATAATTTTAAAAGAAAATCATCATTGAATGCATTTATTAACATTGTATTTAAAATATTAAATTTCCAGTTTCTTCCAGGTAACTTCTCTTATTCAAATAAAAATTGATAACCTCCTAAAATAAGAGAATGCTAGTTTTATGAGGTTGTTAAACACTTGTAGGATTTTTCTCCTACAAAGAATGTTGAAAGATTCACTGCAATGTGGAATTCTCGTTAGCAGGTGTATTTTTTTCCCAGTGGTCTATCTCACTAAAAATATCACAAGCCTTTAGAAATATCAGGAAGTATCTTTTATGGTCATTTAATTTTTAGATCTGAATAAAATATACACCAGAAATTGGATTTGGAAGGAAAAATAAAGCTAGTGCTAAGTAGATCTGTTGTGCATTAGTTTTGAATGAACTGGGCTCTCTCAGTTTACAAATCATTTTACATGTCAAAGAAATTATTGGAATCAAAAGAAATTTACCTATAAACACTGCACCCCAACTGTTTCAAATCTGAGCTTCAGAGAACTTCACAGACACAAATTTGAATGCCATACAGTAAAGAGTAGAACAGAAACCAAGACAAATTAAAACAAACGTTTTCTTCAAAAGAATTTAACATTTGCATTTTTTTAGACTAGCAAATTTTAAGTTGAAGATTCTAACTTTGCATCAACATCTTAAACAATTTATGAGTTGACATGACTAGACAAAGACTGCAACTTCCAGGACGCATGAAACGGAAGTGACGTTTCTCAACTAGAAATGCTGCTATGTAGTTAGCTTTGACTAGAAAGGAGTAAGCTAGTACCTCTAGCTTCTCATTGTGGATTTTTGCCTGTTGTCTGTCCATTCTTTTGAAGAAATACTGAATATTTTCATACACTCTTAAGAGGCAGTAACACCATGCTGTGCGAGCCATACACTGCTTCTGTCATCGTCAAAACTACACAGCAGGCTTTGCCGATGGCCTCATATACCAGGAAAACAGAAATCTCTGAAAGATGTAATACAACCACTGCTAAGCCATCAAAACGTTCTATGCCCTATGCCCAAAAATTCAGGTTTTGGTGGGGATATTCTTTAAACACATCAGTCAAAACAGTCAACATATGGCAGTTTTGGACTTAGTAACCGTCACCTCCATGGCAGCCTTGATCTTAACAGCAACATACTGAATTTAATTTTAAGCAGAATCCCTCGTCTTCCTCTTCTTAAAGTGCACTTCTGTAAAAAATGAAAATCTTCAGCAGACTCAAGTTTGATAATAACTTCCAACAACAGCTTCGTAACAGCACAGCACAAAGCTTATTCTCCCGATGCCTTCTGGAGAATGAATCTGAAGTTGTGGTGTTTTTCTCGGAAAAAACCCCCCCAAAACCAAATAAGCCCAGTTTCTTGTTCAAAACACGTGAAAAAGAAAGCAGAGTGTGCTACAAGAAAGTTGCCTACACATTGGGAGCACAATTAAATTTATACAGATCTATACGCTGTGCTCTAGTTAGAAATTCATCCTTGCTCAGATATCCAAAGGATAAATGTTATCCTCAGATTTCCGTGTAAACCCACGTAATCATTTAAGGCTTTGCCTCCTTCCTGGATTAACTATTGTACAGTTAACAGAAAGAGTTTCACCTCCTGTCTTTTACCCAGGGGGAATATTGACTCTCCTGTCTTTATCTCCAGTGTATAATAAGACGTCACTGAATAGTTGTGTTTCCAGAGCAGTGTTGCTTCAAGGTACTGACGCAAGATGAAACTTACTCCAGTAGACGGAACTGAGTATCCAAACACCGTAAAGAAGCTGAACTTCCAGTTAGAAAGTTAAGTCAACCCTTATCAGACAGAGTACAACTCCTTTTACCCAGCTGAAGAAATGTTCACCAATCATTTTGACTGTCCATCCTATTCAGAAGAGGTGAAGCACTGGACCATGCTCCTCAGCATCATGCTGGTTACTCAAGTGACCAAACATACAGAGCTCAATAGAGAAGAGTAGTTTGGAAGGAAACACCACCACACAAATATGAAATCTGTTAGCTGTCAACAACAACAAAACAAACTGAGGGGCTGGGGTTGTTTCACATGGCAACAGCAACGAGCGTGAACTGGATATGCAGGAAAATAAAACTACACAATATAACTCTTCCTAGTCATTCTATGTATAGCCCCATTTCTCCGTACACACTCTTGTGTCATGAATACAAGAAAGCTGAAGGGGCACCAGAGTGGATATGAGCTTCTCTTCCCTTGAAGTGCCTCCACTTTCCAGCAGCACTTCTGCTTATCACTGCTCATTAGTGCCCTCTGTTGCATCTGATGAAGATTTGTCTGTTTTCTTCGATTTCCTCTGCAGTTGCTCTTGTTCCTTCTTCCTAAGCTTTTCCCTTTGCTTTTCCATTTTCTCTTGAGCTTTGCGAGCTTTCTCCAAGGATGTTTTCATTTCCTTTAGCTTTTTTTTAATGATTGCTCTGTCCTGGGAAGATGTCATACCAAGAGCCTGAGGTGGGAAAAACAAAATTTAAAACAGAAAAAAAATTTCATACGGTTTAATCTATCACATTTTTTTTCATATTCTAGTAGTAACTTTTCTTAGGTAGAAGACTATAACAACAACAACAAGCAAATCTGAGACGGACTCAGATACATTACTGATGTGTAAGTAATACACTTCTGTACTACTTTCCATGCCTTCTACTTCTAGAATATTAAAGAATTAGATCTCATTGCCACCACCAAAGTTGATTTCATTGATCAAATGAGGCAAATAAAGACTAAACTATTTGCCTGAAGCCATCTAAGTCTACACAGAACAAGAATTCCCAATTCTCACTGCTATGCCTTAGTCAAAAGTTCATTTGTCCTCTTCTAAAACCCCCAGAGTTAGTGAAACGTTAGGAAAAAAAATTCAGAAAGGGAACACCAAACTTTGACTTTCAGATATACTGAGCCTCCTTCCTATAATTATTCTTGACAAACGTAGATTCATATTTTCACTACAAGAAACAATATGCATAGTTTATACATCAAAACTGTATTTAGTTCTAACAAAGCACAACTGGTATCAGCTTATGCCTCCAGTATCCCAGTAAACTATTTTTCAGTTGCTACTTCTGATATATTTCTATTTACTATTTTCTCTGAATCACTCTTTAGCAAATGAGAGCTGGATAAGAAATATGTGCATGCTAATACCATTTACACATGCTGCTATATGATTTATGCATGCAAATATGGGTACATTATACACACTCAAGAATCTTCACAGAGCAAATACTCTCTACTTCTGAAGATTTTGAATCCAATGTGTACGGGAATTGCTCACAGTGTTGATGTGGCTTTATAGTCTCCGTTTATTATAGTCTTTATACTCTGTGTTTATACTGTAGTAGTATATAGTAGCAATATACAACCCCCCACACAGGGATTCACTGCTTTCTGGCTGAATTCTTACTTCATTTAAGATTACCTAAAGTGATAATAAATACTACAGTTAGTCTTGAAGTCCAGTCAGTCAATTACCTTGAGCTTACTCCCATCCAGCTGAAGGAGATGCTCCCCATTAATATTTTGGGCAGTGAATTCAGAAACATACTGTTCAAGGTTCAGGCTCATTAACCAGTGGGAAACCTGCTGCACGCTCCACTCCTGAACAGCACGACTCTGACACTGACTGTGCTTAGGAGACTGTCCATCGTCAAGGATCTGTGACAAAAACATGCTGCATTATTATTAAAAGGGTAACATGGTTGAGTAACAACATTTTTCTACACAAACCACCAGCACCAGTGCAGAGCTATCTGTACTATCTTTAAACTACCATAGTAACAATTTCACACTGCTATATTACATCTGTATCTAACCAGGTATCTAAGAATTGGTATAAGGTACCCAAAACGTCTTCAGAAGAAAAAGGAACTGGCATTCCTTTTAACCCAAACAGGGACTGAAATGGCCAGGTGACACAATTCAAAACAGGTACAGTCCCATTCCCTCACAAGATTTTTATCCTTCAAATTAGAACGTTTCTAAAGCTGACAGAGAGTAGGTTTAGAATAGATATTAGGAAGAAGTTCTTCACTGTGAGGGTGGTCAGACACTGGAACAGGTTGCCCAGAGAAGTTGTGGATGCCCCCTCCCTGGAAGTGTTTAAGGCCAGGCTGGATGAGGCTTTGAGCAACCTGGTCTAGTGGAAGGTGTCTCTGCTGATGGCAGGGGGGTTGGAACTAGATGATCTTGAAGGTCCCTTCCAACCCAAACCATTCTATGATTCTAAAGGATGCAATGAATTCTGCATTCCACCCCTGGGCTCACTCATGGATCTTTATGATGTGTTTAAGCTATAAACCAAGAAATTCAAGGGAAAAAGTCCTCCGAAAAACACTCTAAAGTTCAAAGTGATGCTCCTGGGCTCACTCATGGATCTTTATGATGTGCTTAAGCTATAAACCAAGAAATTCAGGGGAAAAAGTCCTCCAAAAAACACTCTAAAGTTCAAAGTGATGACATCAAACAGCCAGTGAGACTGATACTATCTACAGGAGACTATGAGATGACACAGAGGAGCAGGAAGGCACACACAGCGATCCCACAGCCCTGGCCCTGCTCTCATCACGTTGTGCTGCTGCTGTGGAGAGTACACACACAGCACAGGGGAGGCAGGTGGGGCGTCTGCTACTGGGGGCAGCCCCATGTCCTCTCTCTGCCACTTACTTCCACCCAGGGGTATGCCAGTGGGGCCTGAAACAAAAGCTACTCTGTCCCAGCTGTGGTCAGCAAAGCAGCTGCTACAGGCTGCAGCAGCTGTCTGCTGTTAGAGCAGCTTTTATACTGGGTTGGATGATGCTGGGAGCACTCTCAGCTTCTGGCTGTCCAGTTCTCAGGGCTGGGGAAAAGACAGATTAAGCACTATCTTTTCCTTCTCCTGTGCCAGCAGAAGCTCAGTGCAGCTGATGCTTGGCCTGGCGGATTTACTCTGACAGTGACCCTCCTCCCCCTTCCAGCATACCGCAAAAACTGCAATTTGCTATGGTCTTGAAAACTGTTAGCAGAAAAGAGAGGGGAACTCAAGATAAGGAGAGAGGAGCCAGTGACATCTGCATGTTCTGCTCGAGCAGAGGGGTTTGCCAGACAACACCATAAAACAAGAAATGTGAATCTGCAAATGAGACGATACATTGCCACGCGATGGTCACATGATTCACCACAACAGCACACTAGTATCTCACCTCATCATCAATCATATCCAGGCTCTGAGTGAGGGAGCAACAAAGAAATGGGAAAGAAAAGCATTATAGAAACAAAATACAGAACATGTAACAGCATGTAAAAGTTCAGGCAAGGGTGGCACTAAGATTTGCAAACAGGTATGGCTACTCAAAACCAAAGAGATTTCTTTTAAAAAAAATATTTCCAGAAGCAGAGAGGTTATGTTGAAAGCTCAGCACATAACATGATTTGGCAGCTAAACCTGAGACTGTGTCAATGAAATCACCTTGCAATTCCTGGTCTTGACACCCTAGAACCAGTGGGAACCTTCCTGATGACTCCAACAGCAAGAGCAAAAGCTCCTTAATTAGAGAACAACCTGCAAGAACTGGGTTCCCTCTCCACTCTTTCATTTCCTGCATCTCCTTCAAATAACCATGTCAGATCTGCCAGAGAAGCCTGAGAGAAGGAATGCTTGCAGCAATATGCTATGAAGGGTTGAAGAGCAATGCTGGCTTGTGGAGGTTTCCACTGCAGCTCTTGCTGAACATGCTGCCTGATTTGGAGGCTGCAATCTGGCACACAGCAGAGGATGGAGAAAATAAATTCATTTTTATAAATGTGCTCAAGCTTGGTATTTAGAAGTGATAAAATAGAGAGCTGAACAAGCAAAATGAAAGCATTTTCACCCTGGAGGTGTTTAAGGCCAGGCTGGATGAGGCTTTGAGCAACCTGATCTAGTGGAAGGTGTCCTGGCTCATGGCAGGGGGGTTGGAACTAGATGATCTTTAAGGTCCCTTCCAACCCAAACCATTCTATGATTCTATGATTTTTAAGCTTTTAATTCAATTCCACTGGCAACAAGGCGTTGTCACGGTAAAATACATAAGGGGAATGAAACACGTGAAGAGAATGGAATGCATTATCAAGATAGTATTAATACTAAATAAATAATAAATTACAGTTTTCAGTAATTCATAGAATATACAGACCTGTATGCAGTCTCCTGTGATTCTTGTAAATTTTTGCCCTTTATTACCTGCAATAAGTAACCTCTAAAGAATGGTTGGGTTTGCAGACTTGCATTTTGCCAAATGGAGTTGCACGGAACAGCTGTCATTCTTTCAACCCATGCAAAGCATGCAGGCAGTAATACAACAAACCTAACTATCATGAAAAAAAAAAAAGACATAGATACTTCAAGTTCCTCCTCTCCAGAAAAAAACCCTGGCTCAAACCTCACATGAAAAATGTGAAGTTCTTATGGAACGTTTTTAAAAGAACAAAGGCATAGGTTTCCTGAGTCCACAGCACATGTTGTCAGCTACTATCAAATTGAGCAACTTCACTGACAACTGAGTTACAAAACTAGTATCTTAAGAAAAGTATTTTCAATATATTACATTCAGCTCAATTACGTCACCAATTTACAGGGTTAGGAATGCTTTTTCACATTATAATTGTTTGAAAAAACTCTGGTTTGAAGTAACTGAATTCAAATCCATTATGCAAAGCAAGCACAAAGAATGTGAAGTGGATTAACACATATACTTTCTAATCAATATACATACAATCAGGTACAGTAACACACAATTACTGCATGTACAGGTCATTATTATTTTAATGTATCAGGGTAAAAATTAGTCTTAGGTGAAGGTGCCTTACATCTCAACTATATTTACCAAACTATACTATATATTTATCTCAAAATTGTCTCAACTATGTCTAGTTTACTGTATGTCTATATATATCTGTAGGTCCACATGTACATATGTATAATATAGGAAAAATGTAGTGAAATGTTTGAGGACATAGCATCTCTTTGGAAACCAACTGCATTCTATTTCCTTAGGATAATACCATAGGGCCTTTATTTTAAGTCATTATTATATGAACAAAGAAAAATCACAATCTAGGAAAATTGAGATTAATTTTCTTCTCCCATTCTGCTGTCCAAAAAATATCTCTTTATTATTTGAGAAATTATCAAACAAAATGCCATGGGAGAAAGAAAACAACTATTTCCCACCATAAACAATTTCAACAACATACCTCATCTGATGACAGTGCTAAGGAGTGTGAGAAACCTGGGGTTTTAGGTTCTGCTCCTAAACCGCTCAGATCAGCTGAACTTGTGCTGCTGGGACTGAAATCATCATTGAACGTGAAATTCTGTGGAGAAAAAGATGAGTCAGAGTGAACAAACCATCTCACATGTGCATCTAAAGGGAAATTTGCTTTCTGTCTTCCAGGTTGGCATAATTCAGGAGTGATTTCAATCATTTACGAAACCAGTTACAATACACATGAGGAAACCTAATTTTTAGTACTGTTAGTATTTATAGAATACACAGTGTTTTTACCACCGTGTACTTCAAGAGACACCTTTACCAGCCTAATGCCCCAATGAATAGCAAAGGGGTCTGAAAGCAATTTCCAGACTCCCTCTTAAGATGCTGTCTCTCACCCTGGAACTAAATCAATACTTCCATGAGTTAATCACTAGCATTTTACTGTCCTCCAAATATTTAGGACAAGACTAGCGCAGGCAGTAGCACAAAGAATAGGACAGAGGATTAATTAGCAGAGAGAAGTGAAAACTGCTATTGAAACAGCAAGGAGAATATCCTGTGAATCCACTTCTGAGTCCCAAATAATTTCCTAGAAAACTGAAAGGATCCTCTCTCTTTGTCTATATCTATAAAAAAACCCTGAAATTGAAAGTAAAAGAGATCTTTGGATACTGAATGTTATTTACTGAACTACCAAACAGTTTTTTCTTAACAATGCAATGTCAGACATCACACCTTACAGCAAAAAATAGCAAAAGCGTGCTTGTATTTTCCAGGAATACAGCAAAATTACCATCAGAAGAAAACAAAAATTAACAAGGACTTCACATTAGAGTAAGAACCATAAAACCCCAAATCAATAAAAAATAAAGGACACCATCATATTCCATTTAACTTGAATATACAGTTAATGACACAAAGACCTCTAATCTCTACTTTATTCTAACATATAAATGAATATAAAATTCAATTAGTTTTGACATTCAATTTAAAAAAAAAAAAAGATCCAAATATCAAAACTAAGAATAACACAAAAATAGTTATCCTTTTATCCTCTCCAAAGATATCTGACCTGTCTTTCCTGAAAACAGTAAGGCTCCCAAAAATATCAAGTGTTGGTCCTCTTAATTTTGCTGGAAATCCAACTAAATCTTGGTATCACACTGTGCTTTAAAAACCTGAATAGCAGTATACTACTTGTTAATCTAAGAGCTTGCAAACTTTACAGAGAACAACAAAACTTTTTTGTGATCAGTTTTCTTACACCTACATTGAGAATTCCTGTTCTGCCTTTCCCAACATAGTGGAGTTCTAGCAGCTTCCTCAATACACAAACTTTTAGCCCCCACAGCACTCTTAGGCCAGGAGTTCAACAGCTCTACCTCCTGTTGTGTGAAGAACATATTTTGCTTTTTTAAGTATGCTGATTTTTCTTTTACCTCTATTTTGTGCAATCTTCAGCCTTACAATGAATTTAAAATTTAATTTTCTATAGGAAAAACACAAGATAGCTAAGGCCTGCTACTAATTATGACAGCGGAACAAAACCTCCCCCAAAACCTCAACCTAATACTAACTTTAAAAAGGAATGCTTTTTACCCCACTTGAAAATTATTTTTATACAATGTTTGTTTAAAGGCACAAATAGGATTTACATGTCTAATCCTCATCTTTCTTTTTCAAAAGAAACTGGGAACCAATTACTTCAGAGAGTTCATCTGTGGTCTTCTCTATCAGTCTGGACTGCCTTGTGTTGCTCTCCTTAGCAGGTAACACAAGCACAGCTACGACCTTCCACAGCTTGGTGCACTGCAGAAGTAAGGTATCACCAACTTCTGGCACCAAAAGAGTAAGAAATGGCTGTGGAAACTGCTATTATGTACATACATGTGCTTACACAATACAGAGAAATTAGATTTCTGATTCATATTTCTGTACATAAAGTTGAGAACCATATCAGTTTCTTTTTACCAGATCAACATAAAAAGTCAACTGCTAAAAGTTACAAGAAGATACAGGCAGAGAAATATTTCCAGAAGTGAAAATAAACATGAAAAAGCTAAGTATATTACTATAACCAAGGGTTATTTAAGGAGTTATCATGCTGAAACATTCATGCACATAGAAAGGAATCACACAGACGTATTAAATTGCAATAGTTCATATTTACAGTTCAAGCATCTTCATATAGAGAATTAAATCCAACATACAGCATGCATGACAAACAGATTTCATTACTGGGGGGAAAGAAGGCATGTGATTGACTGCATACAGCATTTCTTCACTTGCAAACACCTCGTTTGAACAGGGGTAGGTATTCCCACAATCAGTCCTGAAGAATGCAGAAAGTATCTATAATTGAATACACAAATCTAGCATTTGTTCAGTGGATCCAAATGCTAATTTCCACTGGTACCACTTGCTTTTGTTACAGTACAGCACACCACAGTTAGTTTACTGAATTAATGTACATTAAGACAGAGTAAAAAGGTAGAATGTGGAATGGTACAATGACAGAGATGTTCTGTTTGGATGAGCTTTTACTGTACAATGAACACCATGCACTGTTTATTGTAGTAGTCACATATTGGCCTGTTCTTTTTCCAGAAACACGAAGCCAATTATGCCACTCAACACAGTGGGAATAAGGTAGTTTTTATTTTCTACCTTCGACCCTTTTTTAGCTGGACTTATATTTTCAGAAGAAGGTTCAGTTGAGCTGGTGGGCGATGGCAGGTTGCTAGAAGAATTGGATCCCTTGCCACTCTCTCCATACCATGTGAATGGTACACAGTGTGGGAGAGAGGAGGATCGCTCTGATAAAGATTTAGTGTTTGCTGATTTCTGCAGCATCTCTCTGGCGGTCCTGTTTAAGAGAATGGAGCAGGAGTATGTGTTAGATTATAAAATAAGAGACAACAAAATGCTACAGAGGCAGTTAATTATAAAAAGAGTGACATTCCCTGTAACTGTGACTAAAGAACTGAGTGGCATGCAGATGGTAGGGGCATGTCTGAAATCTTTCTTTCAGCAAAAGAAGAAAAAAGTGGGTTCTTTTGATTCTTTTTCTAACTCAAGCTCTCTGAGACAACACACACCCAGCAAATGGAGACAGATGCCAGCTGTAAATGCCTGTACTCCCACTGTTCCAATGTGAACCAGCTCCAGTCAAGAAGTCACATGTTGTGTTGGTGCATTTCTGAGCCTCAGCCGTATCTCAGCATGATTCAAGAGATCAGAACTCAACACTGATCCAAGTGGGCCCTGGTTCCCAGAGAAGGTCTGGCTTGGATTCTGAGCACAGGCTGCACATAGATTAATACAGCTGTGTCTGTATTAATCTATGGAGATGTGCCTTTGTTACAACAGCTAAATACTGACAGAGTATTATTATCTTGATTTTGAAGTTATTAAATACTAAAAATATTAATATAGAAAAATGAAAGAAACACCTAAGTGATATTATCAGTTTCTCTCTTTGTAGTAACAAAGATTGCAGTGGATAATGTGATCAAGGCAAAGGTTACAGCTATAAAATAAAATACCTAATTATTCACTAAATGTATCATGTCAACAGTACAGTATGTAAATTAAAAATAACCATGAAAACAACTTATGCATTTGTCATATTCTCCTATTATTTATATCAACATAGATATTACTGTTTCAGAGCACTGAACTTCTATTGCTCTTAGCAGCCACCAGTAAATTGCATGCATATAAACCTCCCCTCAACTTCTACCTTCTGGACAGCTTCTAAATAATTATTAACATAATCACTAGAGCTTTGTATATTGTGAAGCCTCTTTTCATTATGGATGAAATTGAGGTTGCTAAAGGGCCCCCACCCATGGAAGCAGAAGAATCCTCCCTCCCTTTAGCTACATAAAGGTAGATGTATCTGACTCAGTCCAGTACTCCTCCCCCATCCTCCAGTCTTGCTTGTAAGTAGGAAGAAAAACTGAATTGTGTTGCTCAAATCACCTAGCTTCAGGCAGGGGAATTTATGCTTCTTACTTAAACGGGGAATTTTTTATTTATGCAACATTAGTGGTAGTCTTAGGAAATAATCCAAGATTTTATTTACATATCCTGAGTTCTATTTTTTATCAATGGCAAAATAATGCATGCAACATCCACCTGACAGTGTGATTAATTCTACATCTATCAGTTGCTGTAATGGACGTAATTATAACAGGATGCCATCTTTTGATCATCATCTTCCTTCTTTCAAAGAGATTATACAGCTTTGGACTGTAGACAAAACATCCTCACATTTCTTCTGAGGCAAATTCTTTGGACTTAGTAACAATGGAAGTGACAACGGGTGTTTAAAAAGTTATACTGAAACAACAACACTCCAGTTTACAAAGGCACAATGAGAATTACAAATGCATATGAATTTTGACTTTGTAAGCAGTATTAAACTTTGCTTTTAGCAACTGTATCCAAACTCAGAAATATTAACAAACAATACAAGTAACTGATTTATCAAATGGTCTAATAAGCAACTGATCTCTCTATGCTGACATCTCCTTTCTCTAAGGAAGATACCTATAGGATCTCACAAATGTCTGTAATGTACTGTGTTGGTATAAGGAACATGCCAAGCTCTTACAAAGAAGCATACATGCATCTCCGCTACCCTGTGGTTTGGTATGTAAATGCTACATGATGTTTAATACCCTGCTGAGGGCACTAGCTGCCTTACAGCTACACAGAGGTGCAGAGAATTTGCTTTATCAAATCTCTCCCTGTCACTAGGGAAATCCAGCAGTGAGTATAACTAATTCCAGGCCACACTGTAAGCAGACACACCAGTGGAGCAACTGGAACAAGATTTCTGACACCAGTGCAGAGGCGATAACTGCTGCCTAAGATCACAGAAGATCCTGCCAGATATTTACAGGATACAAATGTATGTGGAGACAGAACATTGCACTTCAGTACAGTGTGCCTGAGGGAGTAAGTCAGAAGTCTAAGGTTTCTTTTGCTTTTCTGATTTTACAGAGCTACACAATATACTTGTCACTGGGTCTCCATATATTAAGACTGTCAGCAAAACTCCACAAATGGCTACACACTGGATTTCCACCACAGTGATTTTCTGAGTAGCATTCCAAGTTGGTTTTCTTACGATAGCTCTTTTATCATGTAGGTTTTCTTTTGCATTGTTTTATGTGCAGAGAGTTTTTCACTTGCTATGTCCATTCCAGACTTTTGGAATCTATTAATTTTGCTTAGCACTCCTGACATTAACTTGTCTTTCATCCCTGGAACCAGGTATCACCCCCTGTAGCTGTGATCTTACCAGACACATCAGCACGTGAGGAGAGACCTTCAGTAAAAATCTACACTAGCTTTGACAGAAGACTGCTTCCTGCCATTTTGAACATTGATTTATTTGTGAATTGGTAATGTGACAAGCGCTGTCAGCATTTTTCCTATCTATTTTCAAATTACAACATTCATCTTCAGAAACAAACCCTTCTGAAAGCACTCCTGATGTGGGTGCTGTGAAGCTGCAGTGAACAGCTGCTGCCCATCCTCACTCTGGTGTTTTGGGGTCTTTTAAAAAATATATATGGAATTGTGTCAGGATTTCTGGTTCATGGGTATTATTAACTGACTGTGTGTGCATCTTATAGGCCAGTTCTGATAACCTATTTCTGCAAATCCCATCAGTGGATGCAACAGCAGTAGTGATGCCATGATACTATAAGCCTCCAAGTATTTTTAGATTATATGTTAGTCTTTCATTAGTTAAGAAATCTAGGCCTGTAAGCTCAGAAGGTTAGCTCAAAGCTTAACTCCTACTTATATGAAGTCACTGGGACTGTTAATGATCCCATCTGCTAGGATGATTAGGTTTTTCCAATGTGTCTGGCATACAATTTCTTGCATCCTCAATCTTTTACCCATACCTACTGCCACAGATCACCCTCATAGCTTCTTTCTCTTTCCGCTTCTTGCCCTTGTTTGAACTCCTTCTCAAGGGAGCCCTACAAGAATATCAGAAAACATCAGTAAACATCTTTGAAATTTTACTTTCAATCCTTTTAATGAAAAAAATAAGTATTTTAAATAACAAAATGCTTACCCAAGATCTGCAAGTTTTCGCTTTAGTTTTTCTGTATGCCCTACAGTAGGGCTAGTTGTTCTTGCTGCCTGAGCACATGTGGCACCATCTAGGACATATTTGTACATGGAAGAATGTACATTATTATTTTTAATTGCTACTGATAGCTATTCCACTTTCCATCCCGAACAGTTTGTGTATCTTTTTATAGTTAGATATGCACACATATACATGTGTGTGAGTATACAATTTAATTACGTGAATTCTTCTCATTTTTAAGATGGTGTGAAGAGGAATAAAAATAAATAAATACGTTCAGAATTTGAAACTACACATGAAGAAATCTTTTTAATTGAAGAAAATGAAAAGTTAATCAAAAAAGATTTACAGGTAAACATTACAGTGAACCAATTTTTTAAACTCAGCAGTAGCCGCTTAAGTTGCCTTTTACAGAATTCATTTGGTATGTATGATTTACTTCCAGAATGACTCCTGAAATACTTTCTTGAACTTGGAGCCAAGGGTACCTTTTATGACAGACATGCTAGGGAACGGTTATCTGTTTAGTTTGAACTCCTTTGTTAAAATAAACATTTAACTTGAAATCCAACCACTGTAAAAAAAAAAAAAAAAAAAAAAAAGTAGCTTAGTTAATAAATTTGCCCTGAGACGTCTACCAATTTTTGATGTATTCTACAAACACTGTTAAAGCCTAAAGAGGAAACAGCCTGTGGTACCTATAAACCCAGAACAGTCTGCAAAACATCCTGTGAAATCTATATGGAAGCTAAAAGAAAACACACAGCAGCTGAAAAATTCAGACACAGTTTCTGTGATTCTTAAACATAAAGAGTGTCTTCAAACACTCTATGGGAGCAAATGAAGGTCAGTCACTCGTGTCAATTGCACCACTTTGGTGACTTTTACAATGTGACCTCAGATGTACAATGACTCTCAACTGAAAGCACTGCTGGGTTTGTGGATTTCTCCTACCGCAGCTGACATAAAATAAGCCCTCAGAATTAACTCAAAATATCACAGCACCATTGCAGGACAGTCAACTATGTGTACAGAACTTTTTACGCTGCTTTGTAGGTAATATTTGTCCAAGTTTTCATTGAAGTAACAAAATCAATGTGCAACTGGTTCATAAATCCTAGGAAAAGCAGGAAAATAAGCCTCTTGCAATAACCATACTGTAAAAGCCATACTATTTCTACCCAACACAAGTCCTTATGTTAAAGAAAACCATTCAAGAACAACTGAGAAGTAAACTCATGCCAAAAAAGCAAACAAAAAGAAGTAATATGAAGAATGACAAAAGCAAGCAAAGTCTCCTGAAAAGAAAACCACTGCAGGGACGATGAGAACTTTAGGCAAAGTTCTCACTTTTTGAAATGCACTTTTCAAATGCACTTTTTGAATCAACACAGTTTCGCACACTCCTCTCCTGTCTCCTCTTATGGTTCCTCTTTCACCTTTAATGCATACTTCGCATTTAACCACTGTCAAAATTGCCACTTTCAAGAAGAGAAGTCATGTTTGTTTTCACACTAACTATTCACAAGCACGCGGGGCCTGGGGGTCCGGGGGTGGTGGGCTTTTTTTTTGAGAAACTTCTTAATGACGGTAAATGAAACGATAAGGTACATTGCTTTTGTGGTGGGCAAATAATGAAAGCATTTAGTAGCTGGAGGTTTTGCTGCTGTAGTAGAAGAAATAATCTGGAGAGCCCAACAGGGACACGTAGCAGCTACCTGGTATGGCACATTTCTGTTCAGGCTCTGGCATCACTGTGCTCCCTCTCACATGCAGCTTGGCTTAGCCAGGGCTCTCTGAATAATGACAACTTGCTGGGGAAAACATTCTTGCTGGCTATGGGATACAGTGGAAGATGGATGGGCTAGGTCCCAAAACCAGCTGGCAGAGTAGAATTGAATCTACACGGGTCTTGCACACATGGAGGTACACAATGCTTGGCACATGGCAGTGGCCACAAACCAGGGGTGCATGTGCCCTGCCTGGGCAGGAGGGAACTTTGACCACCCTTGATGGGTGCATCTTCCCTGACTCCTTGTAGTTCTTCAGAGAACGTGAGAAAGAACTGGTTCCTCAGAATTAATCACACAGATGCTGTTTAATCCATCACTCTCAGCCTCAAGGAGCTGGTGTAAATAATCTGTGGCTGATGGATGTGAAAAGAGACTAGACCTAACTTTCTTCCCCAAGGTCACAAAACAGTTGCAGGCAGTCTCAGAAGAATATTGTCCATAGGGGACACCTCGGCTGCCTTGTCAAAGGATGCTGTTGCACAGAACAGGCAGAACTGAAGAAAATAAATTAATCGTACACATACATGAAAAAGTTGTGCTTAAAAGACAAACAAGCAAAATTCCTCATCACTTTGCAATGAAACTGATCTCATGCCACTTCAGGTCTTCCCATAACACTGCAGGATCTCACAAGGGAAAAAAAAAAGACAAGTGTGAGCTTGCTAATGCTCACTTTTGCTAATGAGAGATTAATTAATGGACACATACGTGTCCACAGATGTGGTTCTCCTTCCATCTCTAAAAAATCCCTACCTGAACACACAGAACAAATACAATGGCCCTTTTATTTTCTGACCTGTAAGAGTTTGACAGCCAAATAAATAATCAATTAAAACAGTATCACTACAACACTTGCTGCCAAAAAACTGCTTCAGTATATTTCTTTTTTGTAGGACTTATTAAATGCAAATTTTCCATTTGAAACTAAATTTCTGGTTTAATTTTCACATAATCCTCAGAACCTGGATAAACCTGAAAGCACTGGTTGTTTACTTCATGGTCACAGTGTGGAAAGCACACCATCAATATTTAGACAGAGATTATTTTTCAAATCTAAACTGGAAATAGCGACACAGTGGGTGAATAGAATACCCATTCCTTACACTACAAGGCTAGTCTCCACTAAATTTTTATCAAGATATTTTTCATACATCAGTTGGAAATGCAAGGTTTACAACTTCACTGATAAACCAATCATACACTCAACAGAAGTATGAGTTTGGAAAGTCACATTCTTATGTTCACATCCTTATTTTACTTGCAAAACTCAAATACTGAATTTAACTTTGATTTATTAACAATTATACAATTAGAAACTATACAGTTAAGACTAGTATTTCAGAACACATGTAAAAATGCTAGCATATATTAACCTATCCTAAATTCATCCAAACTTCATTGATCTGTCTTTTAGGGATCTGTGTAAAAGCCCTGTATGAATATGAAGAAAAAATAGGCTGTAAATCAGTGGCAAGTCTTTTCAGACACAGAGACAAACAAAAATGCTCAACAAATTGTTATTTTCGGTTAATTTAAATAACCCAGAGTTTGTTAGAAAACTATCCAGGCCTATTCCTGCAGTCCTCAGGAACAATTTTTATCACATATTGTAGCTTATGTGACAGTTAGAGAATGCAAGGTGCGTAGATAAGAATGTTGAAGTTGTGTATAATTCTAGTTTTGACTTCAAAAGGCATCTGAAAAGGAGGGCTGAGTATTCTGTGCCATATCATACTGTTAATGCATCTAATAAACTAGTATCTGAGACATGTACCTGAGCTAGGCATGACTGCATCATGTTTTATCCAGTTTAAAGAATCTGAATTAAATAAATAACAATGCAGCCAACTTTCCCAACAAATTACTTGGTATTTTTTTTTCTGTAAATGAAGAGTCTCCAGATACTAACCTCTTGTTTAATCTAGACTATGTTGCCTCTCAGCAATTAAAAGCTAAAATCCATTATTCTTGCTTTACAATCCTTTCCCCATCCTCCAAAAAAAATCATCTAGCAGTGCCAAAATCACACAATTCAAGTAAATACACCGTGTTAAGCATGTTTCTAATACAGAAATGTCCCAAGGTCCAGTAATTAAGGGGTTTTTTAAAAAACAAAATACAAGATTTTCTTAAAGGCATTTTTTTTTTTCTGTGAATTCTAAGAAAGAAAAAAATAAAAAGGAAGCAGTTCCTGATCTCATTTTAAACTTTGTCCTTTTCTTATACCATCATACAAGGTCATTTGTGATTTTTTTACTTCCAGGTAGACAAAAGACGTTATGAGATGATGGCCTTCTAGTTGCTAAGGTGCTACTACAAAACAAAAGTTCATAAAGTAGATGTAAGAGAGCAAAATGATGCATCGAGTTATTATAAAAAACAGTAATACCTTTATCCTGTAAAATATTCCTGCCAGCTGGGTGATTCAAAGGAGATGCTTCAGAGCTGTGCCCAGATTTTGAAGGAGAGGAAAGTGGAGTGTCTCCCCGAGCATGCAGGGAAAGGACACCTCCTTTGTGGTGTTGTCCTTCTTCTTGGTTTTCAGTTAAGTTGTCAAGTGAGATTGCTGCACTGCTAGCCACAGGGGAGAGAGAGGAAGCACCAGAATCTGATGCTGGTGAGGATGCTCTCATGCATAAGGGCAGTGGTGATTTTGAAATGTGCATGGGACTACTGTAACTGTTTGACAGCTGTTGGTATAAGAGATTATAAAGCAGGTTATACCATTTAGTAACCAATCAGAGCAAGGTTTACTTTGAACATGCAATTATTTTATTCATTATTTAGCCTTCTCTGTATGAAATACTTTAGCAGTTCATGTCATTACCTTTTGATACCACACGCAGTATTGTTTATTGGTATTTGCTTTCAGACAGAAATCAGAATAGGACAAAACAATGAGTGAATATCGCATCAATTGTGTTAAAAATTTAACAAATACAGAAATGCACAATTCAAGTTCCTTTCACCTTCTGCGTAAATGAAAGGACCCACTCTGCATTATAAAGCACACATAAATCAGAAAGCCCATGATTCCTGTTGAAAAAAACCCAACACAACAAAACTGAAAAACCAGGTGTGCTGACACAAAGGAGACTGGACTCGCACATCACTCAAGGACATTCATAGCATACTGGCCACAGAGGAATAAATACTGCCTGTGCTACAATGAAAGGAAAAAGACAGAGGACGAAATGACTTACAGGAGCAATCTAGCAGTCCATAGGAAACCTGAAAGAGAGTGCAGAGTCATTCTCACCTTTCGTTCAAGGCTGTCCTCTCCATCAGTAGAACTGATGCTATCATACAGCCTTGTTCTAGAAGGCCTCTGCCGCTTGTTCTTCACTGAAAGCTGAGCTCGAGTCTTCAGAGCTTTGGAGTCCAGTCTCTCTGTTTCTGGCACTGCTTCATTGAAATCTGCACAGAAACATGATTTGAAGATATTTAAATGAAGAATCTTTCACTACTTTTTCCTAAGACAGGACTTGCAATTTTGAGTACGCGCACTTTGCATGTTTTACTTGTACCTGTATCTTCATAACTGTTAAAGTACACATGCAAAAAAAAAAAAGGTTATTTGCACAAACCATTAACAAGTTTATCTATGCAGTTTATCCAGTAAATGCATAGCAAAGAATAAATAGCAAATATTTAAAAATCCAACAAACGGTTCCTACTGTTAGGTGAAGGATCACACAAACCCAGCTGTACTAGCCCAGAATGCAGGTCCACTTAGACTCCCTAAGAGGGACTTGCATGTGCTTGGCCTGCAGAGAGTTCTCCCCCATCAGGGCATAAAGCAAAGGAATCCTCATCTCACTGCTCTTTGACAGACACTTCCCAGCATCTGGATGAATATATACATTCAGACCCAGGGACTAATTCATTTATCCCCAATCCTGCCCTTTTAAGCCACTTGAGGGACTGGACTGCCATTTTTTCCCCATAGCTGCCCCAATAAGTGTTTCCCTTATAACTTCACCAGTTTTGCAAGCTGCTTGTTGAATTACAGAAGAAATATCTAGAGCAATCCTCAGGCTGCTCTGTATTTTATCATAAGAATGGCTTACAAATTTAAAGAACGTGACTTGTTCTCTCCTGTACTGAATGATCTCCAAAATAACCTTGTACAATACGTGGAAATTAAGAGCAAGCAATGTCTGCAGTCAGTAGTGCACAGAGAGTGATACAGGTAGTACCCAAATAATCAGATACCCATGTGTGATTTGACTGCTTTGCAGGTAGCCTTTCACGGGATTATGAAACAAGTGTTAAACTCATTCCTTTGGACCTACAGTGAAACACACTGCTTACTCTACCACACTATCCCTCCCAGGAGGGGACATCAGTGAGGAATCCCAGTCCTCCTCTGGATTCCGAGGTCATCTGTTGTTCGAAATTCTATGTGACAATACAACCAAAGTGCCCCAATTGTTTATCTCAATTCTTCTGCAAGTAAAAGCACATTTTTACTAGCACTTAAATGTCACATTTGTTACTTCCTCCCTTGCTGCACTGTCCTCAAAATCATTACGTCTTCTTGTAGATTCTTCTTTTATTCAGAGTTCCTTCAAACTCTTAAAATGTACATAAACTCAGGTAAACTTAAGTAAAACATCTCTGTCAGCATCAACCATCATGGTCTCTCATACAGACTGATATGAGCAATCTAACACAAATACAATCTTGCCTCACTTGCACTTGGATCATATCAGAAGACGCTCTGCCAAGCCCCTTTTCTTAAGCAGGGTTCTAGAGGACATGATCATTACTGTGATTACCACCACGTACTGCACTTGTCTGGTTTCAGCTTTCCAACAACAACACATTTGGGCAAAATCATTACCAAGGTAGTGTTACAGCTTTGCAGGAAGAACCTGCAAGTGCTGAAATAAATTTTCACTGCAACCAGCTGTCAGTGATGTTGCATAAAGTTTAACATGACAGTGGAAATGAAATTATATTAATCCATTCAGAAGGTCCGTGAAAGCTACGCTGAATCACAGCTGTTAAGGCAGGAATGGGAAGGTCATGATCAGTACAAGAGCGAAGGCATTCTGGTTCTCCCTGATTAAAAAAAATACTATATTGTATGAAGCAGGACACACACCGTTAGATCTGTCCTTATCCTGATCTACTAGCTCAAAAACTCTATGAGAGATTTTCAGTGAGATAGTAGTAATTATCCCAACAATATCCAACAAAGAGTCACCAGAAGATCTGGGTAAAAGCCCAGTGATGTACTCTATTCTCCCACTTCTTAACTCTGCAAAGTTGCTGTATTTTCTGAATATCTGAGGTTTGTGTAGATGTTGTCTTCTATCATATATACTTTAAAATAACAAAATGGAAAAAATCCCCAAACCCCAGTGCTGCATTATTTTTTATATACCATCAGAAAAGAGCTGGACGCTGTCACTCTCATGCTTATTCACTGTTGTCTTTGTACACACAGCTTTCTGCTGGAAAAATAACAAAAACCTATTTCTTTGTCTTTGAAGGGAAAGCAGCTTCAGATCTTCCCCCTTTCATCTACTGCCCAAAACAAACACTGTTATGTGATACATGAAAACCGGAGAAATATTTCATACAAAAAATGGAACAATGAAACCATCTCACCCGCCTAGGTTCAAAGCCACTCTATTCCTGAATGCCTTGGAAGCAAACTGTACTCAACACTTTATATATGGCTTCCCGTTACAAGTAGAGCTATGTGATAGTTTCACTGGGCCAGCCCTTGGCCAGCAGCCAACACAGCCACTCACCCACTTCCTCCCCACACCCAGGGGATAGGGGAGAGGATCGGGGCAAGGGTAAGGAGGCTTGTAGGTTGAGATAAGAACAGTTTAATAATAGAGAGAAAACTTAAAATAATACTAATATTAAAATAGTAGAGATAATAACAGTAACAAAATATGCAAATGAGTGACACCCCCCTCAGTGTCACCCCCCTCCTGACCGAGTCCGGCCCGTTCCCAGATAACGATCCCGGAGGAGAGACAATCCCGAACTGAAACCGCAATCCCGGGAGAGCGAGAGCCCGAGCGAAAGCCAGAGAGAGCTGAAAGAGGAAGAGCCCCTCACTAATATACTGGACGTGACGTGATATGATATGGAATACCCCATTGGCATATCTAACTGTCAATCAAGTTTATTAATTTAAATATTCTTCTCCCCCCTTAAATCTTGTGCTTGTGGACTAACAGAACACAAAGTGCTTCACTTCCAGTGACACAAATGCAAACACTGATGTGTTATCAGTGTCTCTCTCACAGCAAGTCCCAGGCTGAAAGCAAAACACAGCACAATTCTAGCTACTGAAAAAGAAAACCAGCTCTATTTCAGCTAAAAACCACGATAAGCTAACATAACTGCACTTTTCTTGCCTATCAATCAGCCACTCGAAATCTGAGTATTTCAGCAAATTTAAAATTTTACAAAGCTGCAATAGGACAAAAGACATTTTAAAAGGTGTTTTTGCATTTTACACCAAACAAGTACAAATCAAACCAGAATCCATTAGATTTATTTACTTGTCTAAGTACTGCATTCATAACACACTAATTAATTAGAAACTGATCTTACAGACATTTTTGCTTTAAAAAAACAGACATCTTAGCCTCACTGAAGCCCATGAAGAAACTCTGACCCACTTGAGCAAAGCTGAAATTTTTCCCATTGCTTTCCATGGCACGTTGACCTTCAGTCTCAACGAACGTGATCTCACCCAGGGTAGAACTGACTCCGTGACTTACCACCACCAAAACAGAGAGCTCTTGCTCTTCCTCCTGCTGTCCCAGCCCCTGGCTCTGAGTGATACCCTCCCAGCCCCCCTCAGGATTTGGACTGCGGCTTGCTGATTCACATGACTGATCCAGCAGAAACTATCCAATGTAAGCCCGATGCTCCAACCTCTTCCCCTCTTTCTGTTGTTTCAGTGAATCACTGTGTGCACAGAACTGTGTAAGTGATGGAACAGTGCAATGGAAGAGGTAGAACCAGGCAGCTGGAGAAAGGCAGGGATGGCATGGAGTCTCCTATTTCAACAGTAATGATCTGTCAGTTCAGCTCAAACTGTCTCTTGAAATCAGAGACGTGTTGCGTTAGTATGACAGTAAATAACGGAGGGGTAAGACTCATTCACTCATTTATATTTTTGCAGATTTATGTTGCCTTAAAGCACTGAGAAGACTTCCAGTACCATGTTTTGTTTTTCTTCCTTGTGTAAGAGTTAAGCTCTACATACAGACGACACTACAGAATCATTAGCACTGTCTGACTTGTAATTATGCTTCCACCCTAAGTACTCAATAGGATAACTGCACATTGCTATGCCTCAAACTGCTTAGATTTGTTCTTTCAGGTGTATGTAAGCACTTCCATACCTCATCTCCTTTCACTGCTGAAATTATGAAAACTATTGACATAGCACTGCAAATATTTATTCACTTAAGTGGTCATATTGGCCTTGTTTAAGCAAAATGCCACCTGGGCCTAGAGCTTCCTGCTCCCTCCAACCCAGAGCTGGGCTGCTCACACGCAATGGCAGCTCTCTGTTGTGCTGCAGGTACCCAACTGTGGCTCACTCTGCTGCAAAGAAGGAGCTCACCCAGTATCAGTAAGGCCTCCTTCCCCATCAGAGGCTGTACTTAAGCTGAGCTCTTGCCCTCAGGCCATGCACCCTATGGATCAGACCTGAGCCACAGCCCACAGATGGACTTCCCAGCTTGCCCTTGGACCTGCCTCACTGCCATGAACTTGCCCAGGCTCCTGGCTGACCTCAGTGTCAGCTGGACCTGCCCTGCTTGCCACACTTGGGTGCAGCAGGTCTGGGCTGCTGTTGGGTGGTCTCTGCCCTGGCCACACATGCTGTCACTCTCAGTCCCAACTCCCTCTCTGGCAGAGAGCTGCTGGTCCTCGCTGCTTTTCAGCACAAACATTCACCCCATGTGTTTGTCTAGGAATCTCCCAGGGAGATTCCCCAGCTCCCCACTGGGGAGCTCGATAAATCTCTCACATAAAAGTTGTAACAGGTTTTATTTCGCTCTCAGAGACAATGTAATTAGACTCGCTTTCAGTAGGCATTGAACCACTTGACTCCAATGGGCTTCCCTCTGAATTACCTCAGTACCATTGCAGAGCAGGAAAGAGTTTGCCTGTCCCCCCACTGTTTTTCCATTATACAGGCTGATAGATTTCAAAATCTCCTTCTGTGAGCTGATGCAACCCTGGGTATCACCCAGAAAGTATAGCCACCAAAGTGGCCTGAAAGGGCATTTGCACAGAGATGAGCAAATACTGTAAAAGTCAGCATCAGCACTGAATTTAGATTTGAAACCACTGACTCCTTCCAGTAAATAGTTCTACTCTCTCCTGCAGACAACGCTCATGACCAGTAAACCAGAAAGCTGCAATGCACTTTATCTCTTTTTCTGGACTCTGAGAGTAAGTCACAGATTTGTAAAAGAAACACAGTCCTCAGGCCTCTAGTATTCCCTGGCAAAGCAAAGGAAGAACTCTGTGGGCCATGCTGGTTTTGATTTTCTCTTTCTATCTTCCACTGATGTTACTGGCAGCCCCTCAAACTCAGTATGAGGTTATGTTACAGCCTGAGGACTCGTACAGTCTGGCACGATGCTAAACACAGCCAGAGCACCTGCAGTGGCAGGGACAGCTCTGCTCATATGTATGAGACTGTCAAGTTGGGTCCACTAGTTCTTCCCAAATCTATTGCCACACAAAAATGTAATAAACACCTCAGATCACACTGAAGCAAAAAACATACTTAGCATCATTTTAACGAAAATACATATTTTCTACATAGCCTGATGTAAAAAATATATATTTTTTGCAGACTTCAGAATAAAAATTACGGGATGTGGCTGTGTACATGCAGCCCCACCCTACAAACCTCATCTTGAGAGTCGAGAAGAAGCATGTGCTCTATTTGTCAAATAAAACCCAGAAAACAGACAGGAGCACTTTCCTGAACGTCACAGGGACAGTGTGCACACACACTTCCCCCCGGGGGAACTCTGCTTACCCTCCAAAGAGATCATGGACATCTCCCCCACCCTTCATAGCGACTCTGCAAACACCCACGGGGTGATTAGTAAATACTGTAATTGTTAGTGATGAGTATTACTAGATAATGGCAAGTCCTTTTCTTGAAAGGTTTACACGAGGGTGATATGGAGACATAGGCACTTTCTCTGCAGAGCAAGTTTCACTACACCACTGCAGAATTCCGAGGCTTTGATATGGATTTTACTGGCAAAGGTATATGGAAGTCAAAGAGTGCTGCAGCATGTTTAGGGATCTCTTTATTTTAAAAAAGGGGCTTTTCTTTTTCTCTTGTTAAAAACACAAATCCAGTCTAACTATGCTTTTTCTGCTTTAAAGAATCACTGCTCATTGCTTGTTTTTCCTAGAAAATAAGTAGTGTTTGTATTCAGTGGTTAAACTTGGGCATTTAAGTTCACAGATCATCTATTCTAATTCTCAAAAGTACTGAACATTGGTAACATTTCTCCAGGGGAATGTTTTTGCAATGAAAAATGGCAGCTCTTGGAAAATGAAATTTTTCATGCAAACATATCAATTGAAAAATATAATCTGAAAGTACTAGCACACAGTTTTAATGCTTTACAAAATTTTTCAAATTTTCAGAAAGAATTTTACAAAGAATTTTTTTTTACATGTAGAAATTCTTGGGTTTCAGCTCTTGAGCTATAGGTGTGTTGACACTGTTACAACAGCAAATGTAAACATTATTTTTGTGAGTCAGGTAAAATAGCCACACTTTTCTCTCCTGATGCAACTATTGAAAGAGTTTCTGTTAACAGCATTGCTAAGTACTAAATATTTTGTAACACTCACTGAGTCCCTATGGCAGAAATACAGAGTTTCTTGTCACTCTGTTGCTTTTCTAAACTTCAGAGATTTCAGTAAAATAAAAATTGCTAGAAAGAAACAGCTCTGTGAAGATTTGTGGAAACCAATTCCGCAAAGTCTGCAGATCACCCAAATACTGTTTCAGAAGGACTAGTTATTTTTTATAAACATGCTTTGTTAAAAATGTAATTCATATTGATTTGTTTGTGGGTCCACACAAGAAATAATTGCTAAAATATCAATTTTAATAAAATACCTCTATGCTTGCTAGAAATTCATTTATTTGGTAACTTAATGCATTTTATTTCATTAGAGAAATAAATAATATTATAGTTAATTTAAAATTAAAATCTATTTAAGAACAGAATCTGGTGCTCCCTTGTCAGAATCCAAACATCTCTGACACCTGATTTCACAGATGTTATCAAATACATAATAAGTATTGCTCCTGCAATTGTTCCAAGGCTGTGGACCTAAAATTGTCTTTAATTCTGTGTATCAGAGGTCCTCAATCTGACCCGCCGGTATTTACAGAACTCCCCGCCCTCCCCGCCGGGGGTTGGGGGGGAACCCAGCAGCCGCCGGGACTGGGCTGGAACCAGCGCCCCGTCCCCGACCTGCCCCCTGCGGCGGGCGAGCGGCGCGGGCATCACCTCTGCCGGGCAGGCTCAGTCGGCAGCCTGTGAGCAGCCGTTTTCCCGAATGAAACATCTGAAATCTCCAATCAGACCCAGACTGACTGATGAACACTGGCATCACTTGCTGCGACCAGCAGTGACAAATATGGAACCTGACACTGACCATCTCATTGGCCAAAAGCAGGCCCATAGTTCACATTCAAATATTATTTGTTTTTGTTGATTACAATTGCTCTTCATTTTAAATATTGCATTCCTTTTTCCTGGTTTTTGTGCACTACTGCAAATAAAATATGTGCAGTGTGCATAGGAATTCGGTCATTCTTTTCCAAACTATAGTCCGGCCCCCGACAGTGTCTGAGGGACAGTGAACCCGCCCCCTGTTTAAAAAGTCTGAGGACCCCTGCTGTATATACTTCAACAGTGAGGAGCCACGTGCAATTACAGAACTGTAACTAAAGCTGTTCAAGTTATCTGTATATTTTCACTGGCACAGCCTGAAAAATGGGAATTGTCTTTTCTGGGTAAAGTAAGTAAAGGTTACAATGACCATGCTGACAGCATCTATCCAGATCTAAGTATAGACACAAATTGTTTTGTCTCTTTGGTAATGTAGAACAAAGTCTTGAAAGCCTTATGTTGTAAATCAGGTCGTGGTATAGCTGAATAAGATTTTTAATTAATGTGCTAGTAAAGAATTTCCCTTTTATTCACAAAAACCTCCATCCTGAGAAATGGTGAGCGCCACCTACATGGTTCCTTTTGATGCCTGTACCAAGGTGGAAGCAGAACCTGCAGAGATCAATTCAAAATGGTAAATTTACCATAGTTTTTCTTGTTCTGGTAACTTTGGGTAATTAAGGACAGATTTAGGAACACAGGAGAAAACACAATTTTCTTCTCCTTTATAAATGAAGCATCGAATTAAACCTAAATGTTGATGGTATCCCACTAAAAGCTTTAAGAAATCAATCAAACAAACCTTGACTTAAGCCATCCAGGCAGGACACTTGCTTAGTATCTAGATTTTCCACTGGATCTCCTCTGGAAACTTCTCCGAAAGATGTCTGCCTTTCAAAAATGTTGTTGTTATTGTTAACCTGGCTCCCATTTTGCTTCATTAGCCTGAAAACTTCTGTTTCCAAGTCTCGTATCTGAAAGAAATACAATACAGTGTTACCCATAACATACACACGCACATATACACACATATCTATAAGGTAAAAGAGGTTTTTCCAAAATATCAGACAGAATTGTCTCATTCTTCAAATATAAGAGTAAATACTACTCACACGAGCTTGTAAGCCTTGAACCTCTGCAAGGTGTGCTTTCTCCAAATCTTCTATTTTCTTTCGTTCAGCTTCCTGGCGTTTGATGAAGTCAAGTTCTCTTAGGGGAAAAAAAAAAGATGTATTTGCTGTCATCAAAGCAATCAGATTCGAACAGCAAATAAAATGTTCTGATATATCTTAAGCTATGCATCAGAAAAATCTGTCCTTAACAATTATTTTGTTATTACCCTAGTAAGAAGTATGAAACTGCAACTAGGATAAAACCCTAAACAATTACTTGGTCTGAGTATGCTAGGTGAAGATATACAAATGGTAAGAGGAATTTATCTGAAAAAAATCTCAGTTGGTCCAATTAACAATCAAAACAGCTGAATCAAAATATTTTTTTCATAATTGGTATTTACAGTGAAAACGTTAGCTTAGTTTACGCTGTGTTCTGTTCCAAGAAATGGAGCGAAATCTCTGTTTCACTAGAGTATAACTGCACTCCTTCACAGAAAGGACATCTGTAAGTTTCCAGGTACAAATCTAATTTTCTAGTAAGCTCTAAAGAAATCTGTTAGGAGTCAGAGATAGTTAAAAACAACTGACTAGATCTTTTACTAATATAAAGCAGAATAACAACAGAAAGGTTATCCAAGCTCATTCTAGCTATTTTACCCTATTTCTTTTTAGTTTGAAAGTCTAAGACATTTGTGATAGAAAGCATGCAAGATGCCAGCTAGTTCTGGAGCAGTAACAAAATTCCAAGACGGGTAATGACATTCTGACTATCTAAAACCCTTTCCAATGGGACGGGATATTCACATCTGCACTTTCAGTTGTCACTTGACATTGCTGTATGTTTTAAATTTTTTTCTTTAAATGAGCATATTTCAGCATAAAATGAAAAAGTTGCTGCAAAAAGAGAAATTTAGGGGAATGAAGGCTGTTAACAGAAATGTAAGATGTTATTATTCTTGCTAGCTATCAGGGGAAGGGGACAACATGAAACAGAGCGGGCCAGATAATCATCAGTTAGCTCAACTCAGATCAAACATTCTTGGCATCTACGAGAAGCAAAATAAAATGTGAAATGTAACAAAACAATTTTCTTTTTGATGTTACATTAGTACACAGCAGGAGTGAATCCAGCTGACACGATACTAATAAATTGCAAACCTTGCTAATCAAATGCTTTACTATGATTACTCTTCATTGTTTGCAATCACATTGAGTTATCTAGTAATTCTGAAACATTCCAACCTGGAATACTACATACCAGGTCTTTATTTAGTTATAGTATTATCTTTCAACAACACTGAACTAATACTTGAACACTATTAACATTTTTCCATAATAAAGAGTCCATGCTCTTCATGAAAAAAAAAAAAAAAAGTGAAAAAATAGTGTTTGCCTTACAGGTGTTTAATAGTGGGTTTCACATTTCAAAATATATCACATATATGTTTCCTATCTGGCCACTAAGTCATTTGCTGAGCCTGGTGTAGCTGCTTACTTTTGCTGAAAATCCTTGATTAATTTCTTTGCCTTGTTATATTTCTTCTCCAGAGCCTGATACTGGCTTTGCGTCTCCTTGAGGTGCTCATTCACCGTGTGACACAGGGTTTGTGCCTCAATCCAATAACTCTCTAATTTCATCATCCTTTCCTTATTCTCCTCAATGTTCTGCTGGAGTTGGGTCTTCTCCAATTCCCACCTCACCTTCTCATTTTCAGCAGCCTGCAGCTGAACAAAAAAGTAGAGATGCCAGTCAGTAAAAAGGTCCAAAGTGCAGTTTAACCGTTTAGGATGAATTCAAACAATATGAACAGTGAAAATTAGTTGATTAATAGCTACAAAAGTAATATGCTAGGAGTGAAAAAAGCATTCCAAGAGAAAGAACACAGGCTCATACATACATTATACTTCCTCATAAAACAAAGTAGAACCTTTGCTCCATGCAGCCAGTGCAGCTTCTGTGCTTCTCTGGGATATACCAACATGCTTTAAAAATGTCAACAGTGGAGTACTGAGGCAAACTGCAGGGTTAATCAGTCAGCACTGGGGATGTATTTTGCTTTATGCATCTGGCCGAGGTGTTAGAAAGCATTCATACACTTTCATAAAATGAGAAATTTCTTATTTTGGATGGATTCTGATTTCCAGGTTCTATATTTGATTTAAGAACGATTTAGAAAACAATAGGGAAAAAACCCAATTGCATCTAACTGTCTGCTTTTTTACCCAAATTAGAAATTCTACTCAATTCTTACAATGTCTGTTTTCCTGTCATACTCTTGCTTAATCTAGGAAGTCAAACAAAAGAGGTTGGAGCATAATTCAAAATTTAACATCAGGTCATAATCTAGAATCTTTTTTTCATTTAAGTACACACAGACTTTTGCATCCAATACTGAAACTATGCCAGAACTATTACTAGGACAAGAAGAACTTGTTCTAAACGTATTACTCTTGTTTTCTTTAAACTTGCCTACCAAATTGTAAGGAGCTAATATGAAAAGAAAAATACGCCCTTGCTGTTGAGGATTTCAGGTACTAATTCTGCCAAACACATCAGCACTGCTTAACTCTCTGACCAGTGCAGTTCCACTGCGAGTTCCACTATTTGGCACCAATGAAGTCCACGGACTTTTCCAAGTGGTCTTAGAGAAGTCCAAATTTTACTGCTGAGTTTATAATAAACCTTAGCTCTTTTGCTAGTTTTTTTGTTAGATTTTTGTGTGTGTGTGTGTGTGTGTGTGTGTGTTAGGCTTCTCACTTCCCAGCTGAAGCTAGTTGCAGGTTTGAATGTTTGGCGCTGGGTAAGGGTAGGGTTGTTCAGCAGCTTGTAGATATTAGGTCCCAGAATTTATGGAAAACAAAAAATGCCTTAACAACCTTGTTTACTTATCAAGACTGTTTAATTTGCTGTAGGCAGTTCTGCTAGCATCAAGGATGATGCACACAAAAAGAAAATAACTTGTTTGCAGTCTTATTAATAATATACCCAAACTAGACACATTTTATTCAGCTCTATTCAAAGCACTAAGTAAAGAAGTAGAACACAAAAAGGCACATTAACTCTAATCTTATAAATGGATTTGCACAGATGAATGTTTACACCCACACATCACTGCCATGAAGTCAATGGGGCTCGGCACAATCCCAAGGGATTGACCATGCAGCTTCGACTGCTAAATTGAAACTGGAAAGCAGAGGAAGAAAAGATTTCTGATTTTCTGAACTGAAACAGTACAACAGAATAGGTCCTAACAGAAAACAGTTGTACTCTGAATTTGTTTTTATCAGTAATTTATGCAGATTTGGTAAACACTATACAAAATACACAGTGAGTGCAAATAGTTGCTAGAAAGAAATAATAATCTGAAATATTTTTCTGAAGTCCAATTTCTCTTTGTCTTCTTTTTATTTCCTTTATAATGTACTCAAACTCAAAGAGAAGCATGTCATTATAAAACCTAATATTACTCAACAACTGAATTATCAGTTGACTTCCCATAAAGGTTATCCTAGTACAAAAAATACAATTTCTTTTTATTGCTATAGCAAATTCAATCTAACAAATAGCAAGTGATTGTGAGATGTTTTCTGTTAAACTGCTAAGCTTTTTCCTTTCTAGAGTTTCTTTTAAAAAGAACTGCAGCAATATGAAACAGTTTTATAAAAACAATTTTTATTAAATACCTTTAAATAAATGAGGTTTTTTCCAAGAAATGTCAAAAAAAGAGGAACTACCATAAACAGGATACTTTAATAGCACTGGTAAATAAAAACCCTACTAACTTAAATTCAAATATTCAACCCAAATGTAATTTAAAAATCTGAGAAAATGCATTAGAATTGTAAAACTAGAAATCTGCCATAGTTATTATGATGCTCCTTAAAATGTATGTTTAATTGAAGCTACACAAGTTGACAGTTTCTCTTAATAGCAGCACTTAAGATTTTACTTGATGAACAGAGAATATATACGAAGAGAAGATTTAGCTGAGCCACTGTGCTTCTTAATCAGCCTTTAAAAAGGACGTTGACTTCTCCACCCACATAAAGATACATGTCTTCAGATCTGATTTTGTATGAGAGGAAAAAAACAGCATGTATTAACCATATATTGATTCTTACCTTCGTCTTCAGCTTCTGAATTTCAGCTTCTGTAACTGCATGTTTGATTTGCAACTAAAATTGAAAATATAAAATAAACAAGTGAAGTCACAGATAGTACTCCAGTATTTTTAAAGCCTGTGCTGCAAGTTGAATACCTTATTACATAGCAGAAGGCCTTGAAGAGTGCTGCAGTGCAGTAGATTGCAAATTAAAATGTCTAGCTTGCAAAATGACTCAGTCTGTGCAACCTAATTAAAGATAGGATGCTGTCTAACCACTCATGATTTCAAATCAGAACATCCAATCTGTTTAGCAAAGCCAAATGTCTTATGCTTAAAAAAAAAATAGATGTTATCCTGCTGGGCTTTGCTCTCCTCTGATGTGAACATGAAATACGTCCCAGTGCTGTCAGAAAGTCCCACTGCATTGATTAAAGCAGGCACATTACAAAAAAGCAAATATGGAAATAAGTGATTTAACAACTGAAGAAGTCAGGAAAACCTTGAGGGAAGATTCCACACGTTTATTTCATACAAAAAAAAAAAAAAAAAAAAAGGTTGACTGATGCTATCCTTTTCCACTATGAGCTGGAGTTATTCTGTTCAAGATAGCTTATCTCAACTGAGAGCAGTTACAGGGAGAAACTGTAAAAAACAGGAAACGGCACTGAAACACACAAAATGACTGCAAGTCGATTAACAGCCCAGGCAGTGTACTAAGGGTTGTAGTTACATTGCCAAGCAGCGTGCCACAGTAACAGTGGATCTGTACAGTGAAAGGGTCAGTGCTGAGGACATGGCAACCACCTGCACACTTTCTGAGGGGATTTCTTTTGGACTAAACTACATTGTCTGATCCTGTGGAGTGAATACTCATTAGCTCATCGAATGTATTAGGCAATGTCCTGAAACATCTTTAGTTTCACCCCAAAGGTCTGCTATTCATAGGCTCCAAGAACACTCTGAAGTACCAATTGAACCACAGTTCCAACAGCACAACCCTAATCCAAATGGAAAGGATCATGCACATGCACCCAATACTGGTCTGCACCCGAATCCCTGCTGCTTTATTATTTAAAGCAGGCAGCACGAACAAAGTTCTGACAGGCCCCCAAACCTTGAATCTAAAGCCCTGTTTAATCTGAATCAGTGACTTGTGTGTGTTGGGTTGAGGGCAAGGAAAAAAAATAAATTACAGCCTGAGCTGGCATGGCAGTAGAGACAACACCTTTGTCCATTATTTATGAATACCAAGAACAGTTACAGAAAAGCATGTTTTACATAGGAGTTAATTCTCTTACAGTACTAACAGAGGCCTTTGGGAATAGTTTATATTGAGCTAATGGAGTACGTGAGGAGCTGTACTGAACCAGAAATTATCATCTCTGGTGGAGCAATGGCTACATTTTTGAAGACCAGGCTGTTAGTAAAAAAAGTACAAATAATTCAAAAGAGAAGTTCCTCTAAAGGAGAGGAGTAGTTTTCAAAATAAAAAGAGTCATCACAGAGTGGATCAATACAAGTATCCTTGAGAAAGGCCAAGCTACTTTTGAAATTCCCTTTTCATGGGACCTTTTGAACACTCTTCTTGTGGCAGCATACGAAATGCACACTCGCAGATGCAGTTCAGTTTGCAAATCAGCCTTAACTAATCTAGTGAATAAACTTCATCCTTTCTGTAAAGAATTACTAAATTTAGGCTAGAAGGAATAAAGGATACACTGATGCAACCAGTTCCACCTGAGGAACAGGTTAGGAATCTTCTTTCCACCACTCATTTCTTGGTCACTGTCTCCAGAGGAGATTGTAAGCACTTGTCCCCAGGATCATCTGTTACTTACATTCACTTTTTGACTTGGCACTGAAAAGAGTAACAACTCTTCAAGTGCTCAGTGAAAGCAGATTTCAGGCCTCATTTAAATGAAACCAGTCACTGACTATAACAGCTTACCTTTACATGTTTCTACACGTAAAATGTGGAGGCACACCAGGCACACTAGCAGGTGGAACACCCACGAGGCCAGACCGAACCTGCCGCAAGCACACAGCTAACCTGCAGATCACACCAGGTCCTGAGGAAGGGCCACATGAGAGCAGGGATACTGCTCCTGGATGGAGAGATGTCAGTGCAGCTGGGAAGAGGGCACTCAGCAGCCCTGAAGCTGGTGTTAATGGTAAGAAGTGGCCAGTAGTGCTAATGCACGGAGACCAGGAAGCCAAGAAGGACATATACCTTTTGGTAATTATACATAGTAGAGCAAACTAAGGAGACACTTTAATTACTGTTTGCAAGAGTTTACTTGCAATTTTTGATCTCACTCAATCCAACCTCTGATCTGCAGTTTTCAGAGACTGAGAACTGTTTTTTTTCTCATAATTTTATTTCTGTCAGTAGTGAAAAATAAAAAAGAACCATCTTAAAATGTTATGGTGTTTATAAAGTGCCCAGGCCTTTCCTCAGTTCTGCTACCTCCTTGTTTTGGAGTGAGACAAAATCAGGGGAAGGATGGATGAGCAAGACTTTGCCCTTTGCAGAGTTAATAATGAAACCAAAAGGCCAAGACTCAAAACCTTAGGTTACCTGCTTACAGTCCATTCCCATCTCTTCTAAAAACCACACAAACCAGTAATCAGCACTTAAACAGCTTATTATTACATACAAATAAACTCTAAATTGTTGCATAAATGACAATCTGCTCAGGTACAGATGGTTTTAACAGTTATTTTTATACTCTCTGTCATTAAGCTAAGAAAAATGAATACTGAGCATCCAGTCAGATCATTGAATCAGTACATGGTACAGCAGATCCCACTGAGGCAGAAGAAAAAATACACTTTCCTGACAAACAGATAAATGTGTAGCTGGACATCTACTTCAGTCTTTTTTTCTTTTTTCTTTTTTTTTAACAGAACTAATTATGCTTGCAAAATAGATGAGAAATACTAACACATTTATGGGCTAGACTGCACAACAGGCAAGGTCAATTGTTTGGCATTTGTTCAAATCTGAACTCCATAATTAAAAATTTTAAAGCAAGTTTTCTTATAGGGGAACAGAAATACCTTATTCCATCTCCAATATAACGTCAGACAGATTTTTGGCAAATACTATTTTGCATTTTGTTTTCTAAGTCAATAAAAAACTGTGAAGGCTTCATTTTAACAAAAGACATTTGGAATAATTTTTGGCACATTTCCTTTGCAAAGATGTCTCGAAAAGCTGATTAATTTTCTTCAAAACTGTCTTTTTTTTTTCTTTTTTTTTTTTAAATAAGATCTATAGAGAAAATAGCTTGAATTCATCTAAGGCTGCAAAAGGTAGAATGGGATGAAAAGCTAGGAAATGTTAAATTTAGAGTACAATGGTAAATAAAGTACCCAATGGAATCTAATGATCTCCATGAAAAAAATTATATAATAATTGTATTTCATGTCTAAATAATAATAATAATAATAATAATTCATTTTTCATATATTTCATTCAGATGTGAAATATAGTATCTAATTCTTAAATAAGATGTCCCTTCTTGCTACAGTTTTTGTCCCTCTTCAATCATCAGAGATAAAATAAAGTTCTTTCTCTCAAAGCAGTTAAGGAAAATCAGTCCCATTTTTCCCATTTTACAGCCAGTAAAACAAGACTTGCAGAAATACAACGATTCACCCAAGAATGCCCATCTCTCTTCTGCCTTCCATTCCAAAAGCAAGGCATTTCAAGTAAGAGTGCTCTCAAAGTATTTGAGCAGATTTTTCATTGCAAAGACTGAACTGAACTAATTAGGTCAAACTATTATGCTTAAAGATTATGCCCAACCCACTTGTTTAATACTTTCATTAATCTCTGCAGTAAGAACAAGAAAGAACAGTTATTCTTTAAATACAATTCCAGAAAACACTGTGTGGGCTTGTGCAGCATGATCATGAACAAGTCCTCCAGTGTTGAAAGAATTCAGGGCAAATACCAAGAAAAATACATGTACTCACTATGCAGCAGCCAACAAAATGCAGCTGTGTACTGTTAAATAGAATAAGTGAAACAAAAGCTGTATGTTCCTAACAGCAGTAACTGTGTGGGTTAGTGAAAGAGAGTCCACTCTTATGCAGGAGCATTTAATGTTTTCTTCTAAGGCTCCCATCTACGCTTAAACTGGAGGACCAAAAGTCCCTTAATCTTCTCTATGCTGGCGTTTTGAGGCCATTAAATCAGACAGGTCTGCAAACAGCTTCAAATCAGTTTGGACATGCTCAAGTATGGCAACAGCCCAAGTTGATGGAAACTATTCAAGTATAGTTTTACAGGTAATTTATTCAAAGGTCAGTGTCTTGCCCATCACTGCATCTGTGCTTTGCATAGCCTTAGTACACCGGCACTGCTTTGAGAAAGTATCACTATATATGATGCTAAGTACTAGAAAATTAAGTAATCTGTTCTGCTAATTTGCATAAGAGCCTGGAACTTGAAATACAGAGTGAAGAAATTATCATTTAAGTGAACTAAAAAACTTTCAGGAAACAATGATGAACAACAGTAGGCCTCCAAAGGCTGAAAAGGGTATCAGCAGAAAAGGGAAAGACAGGTTGCTCAGTGACTGAGTATCTTCCACACATTACTCTCACTAGAGAGTAATAACAACATATATTTATAGAAAACAAAATATCTGTTTGGAAGGGAGAGGAGAGGAAGGGGAGGGGACAGGGAAATAAGAACAAAAAGGGAGCCTCTCTGTTTTAAAACTCCATTCTGGGTGCAGGAGGGCTCTGCTGCCCAAACCTCCCACGAGGTTCTGGCTACTTTCACCCCTTCCATCTTCACTGCATTTAAAAAGAAAAATGTTCGTTGTTGTCATCACTCAGCCCATTACTGTGGGCTTAGATAAATCCAATTGTTTCAAGCCTTTATTTGCAGAATTCAGTCAAGTTCAGAAATAAATCACATCAAAAGCACAACCTAAAAGACAGAAGAAATCTTTCACAGTACTTTGGTAAGTTAAGTTACATTAATTCAATGACCACAACAAACACCACTGATTCAAGCCTCAGTTAGTACCAGTGGATGCTCACAAACTCTACAATCACAGAGGTCTGGTAAAACACCAGCTTGAAATGTGCCTGCTTCCCTGATATAGCATCTTAACACATGGCCAAACATATGACACTGCTACACACTGATGAATTGCTGTGTAATGGTATAGGAAGAGCTCCATGTGTCCCTTTCCACTGAAATTTAGCATTTGCTATTTGGTTTTCCTGATCACTTTTGATTGGAATCTTAACAAAAAACCAAACCAAAACAAACAACCCACCACCAAAAAACCAAAACCAAAACCAAACAAGAAAAAGCAACCTACTAGTAATGAATTAACTTGCTCTTTGTCTTCCTGGTCAGGAAATGCAAATAAGGTGCTGAGGCAGAATAACTTTTGTGCTGAAGACTTAAATTATACATTACCATACACCAATGCAACAGTCACCTGAAAGCTGATGTTAAAACAACTCTGAAGAACAATTCCACTTCTTTTAAGCAGAACTTTTTGAGTCATTCAACAATACCGAGTATACAAACAGCCAGAAATCAACTCTAGTATTCAAGAGAATAAATAAGCACTGAGCAGTGAGATAACTAGAAATCTAGCAAGATATTTCAGGAGTATTTTCTGATCTATAAGTTACCTCTTTGAATTTGTGAGCAAGCTTGCTGGTGTCCACATCACTGGGGGAGAACATGTCATCATTTTCAGGGAGATCGAACACTTCAATAGCCATGTCACCTCCTGGAAGGACAGGTCCCATGTCTTCATCTTCTTCATCTGTAGCATATTCCCCTGTCTTAATGTTACAGCATTTAAAAAATTCCAGTTATTCTCTTAGTAAGCAGAAACTGTTCAAAGTGTAATTAAGCTACTGTGCAAATACAGCATACTGCATTCAAAAAAAGGTTATATTTTCCTTTAGCTGTAATCCCAGTACTAATGAATTCTAACAGACAAAAAAATACAACTCCAACACAGTATTTCAGAACATTGAGACTGGAGAAAACAGTAACTAAGAATTTAGTGCTTAAGCATTCCTGTATAATTCAATCATTTTCATCACTTTCCAAATGAGGCGCTCTTTTCCATAGACATCCTCTACAAATTTACTTCAAATTTAACAAGAAATATTTTCCAAAAAGAAATAAAAGCAGAACAGGACTGACAAGACCTTGATTAGTCTTTTGTAAGCCATCTGGAGGTAGTAATTCTCCAGTGATATTCCACGCTGAATTTGGAAATCCACTAGTTTGTTCTTAATAAACAAATTAACAATAGAGAAGTCACACACAGAACGACAACAGCAGTAAAAAGAAACCAAGTGTCAGTTACAAGTTCAGAGACCGAATTCAGAGTTTACTGAATTTTCACCCTGAATAAGGAGCTGCTTCTAGCTAGTTTTGAACAGAAAATGCGGGTTTTTCTTGGGCTGGTAAACCATGAGATGTGAACAGTTTGCTGACAAAACAGAATAAAAAAAAATAAAATCATAAGCTACAATCATTATCTCAAGATAAAACAAAATAGAACAATAATACTGAAAAGAAAAAGCTTGTAATATTAAATACCAAGTTGCCTAGGCAATCTTTGGCACATACACCTGTGTCCATCTCTCTCCCATGCCTGAGGTGGCTGGGTACCACTTCGCTTCAGGAAGGCTCCCTCCAGAAGCCGGAGTACATGGCATACAGATGGATCATGAATAGCCTGCAGGCTATGCAAATGACTACACACACGTATTATAAAGCAAGCACTTCCTTCAGAGCCACATCTGGATTTATAAAGCTTGGGACTCAACAAATACATGGAAAAGGAAGGGTGGGGAAGGGGTGCAGTTCTTCTCATGTTAATACAGTAATAACACCAACATTTCGACAGAATTGCTCAAGTTCTTGTTGATGAGCTTTCAGTTCCTGAGATGAAGGCACATAATATTATTATCAGAAGCACATTCCCAGTAGTGCTAGGATTATCTACTAGTGGAATTTTTTTGTCAAAATAACTTTTCAAAACAAGATGTAAGAACTCAGATGTCCGAACAGCAGTTCAAGTCTGAACTTCCTACCTTAATTTAATTTCCCAGCTGATGTTTAGGCTTCTGTAAATCTCTCTCAATTAAAAAGCAGTGTATGGAAGCACATTAAGTCTAAATGCAGGAGTACATACAGACAGAAGAGATATATGTATGCACTCAACAACGGGGTGATACAGTTGCAATAAAACGTCACCATTTCTTGGATAAATAACACACAGAATCACAGAATGGTTTGAGTTGGAAGGGACCTTTAAAGATAATTAAAAATTTATATTCTTTTATAAAACCACTAAAGTTTTAAAAAACAAAGCCAAAACACACAGTAAGCATAGTATGATGTTGTAAAATCTGATGTTAAAAGAACTAACAAAAAGTAAGTCACCAATGTGCATGACCCGTCCATACTTCAAACATCACTGTTAATGCAAGCCACTTCTACTCATGAGAGCCATCTCTGTCTCTATAAATAGTTACATATTCCCCAACCAAACAGAGTAACCATTTGTTTCACATACTTGATATGCATTAAGAATTTCAGTAGTCTTCAACAAAAAAAACCCCAGCTGGTTTTGCTTCTTTTTTCTTTATTTAAAAGACAAGCAAAGAACACACAATCCATCTCACTGGAGTTTTCAGGCATGTTAGCACTACAGCTAAACAAAACACCACCTGGAACTAAATGTCTGTATGTCTAGGTCTCACATGCATGCACAAAATCTTCTGTTATGCTACACCTGTAGTAACTTCCTTTTTTTTTTTATTCCCCATGGCTATGTGGAGTTACTATCTAAACAGAAAATCAGGCTGTTAGCTCTCCTGGCTTTTTCCAGGAGCATGACTACACCACCTTCATACACCATCAGGGTGGCAAGAAGCAGAAAAACTAACTTTAAAATCCCAGCAAGATTTCAATTAAAGTAATTATTGTGGGGACAAAACAGTCACACAATCTGTGAACTGTCAATTTTGTAGTCATTATCCCTGAAAAATCTATAAGGTGATATACAACTATAATTTCTACATTAAAAAACCCGTATTTTGGCAGGTCCATCAGCCGTGGCAAGGAAATATCTGAAGCACGCAAAGAGGAGGCAGAAATCGGATTATTAACTAGCAAACTCATTCCCAGTTTATGTAAAAAAATGGATCTGGCTCTGGCATGTGCTTTTTAAAGGAATATATTAATTTGGTGCAAAATCTTAGTTATATTTACCAATTTTAGTAAAAGAATACAACAGATGAGTTCGGTTAAACTTGATTCTGCCAAAGACTTAAACTAAAAAGAAGTACTTCATACAAAAAGAAAAACAAGCACATATAAAGGACTAAGTTATATTGGGGAAAAATTCAAGAGCAGGCACTATTCCACCAGCTCCAGGAGCCACAGTATTTGAAGAGGGACATCAGGCAGCTTAAAATGAACACAAAGGAAAATTTTGCTTCAAATTGTACATAGTGAGTGCCGATGGGCACAGTCATTTTTGCAACATTTGCAAAAAGTAGTCACCAAAGCAAAGCATGGCAGTTTGCTTGAGTAAACAAGGCAGCAGGATGACACAAACACATTACAGAACATCAAAATAAATGGGACTTTTGCTTTTGTCTTCAAAAGAAAGGGATTCAATCTTATAATCACATGAAACACAAATTACAGGTTCAAAAGAACCAATGTGCGCTTTAAGGAAACATATGTTGTAAGCTACATGAAACATACTTTCTCTCAAAAAATCACCTCTGCCAAACTTTACTTCACATGAAACTACTAGAAGGTTTTCAGACCCTGCGCCAGTAAGCTAGAATGGGAAATTCAGTGTTTTACAAGCAGCAGCAAGGCACAGACAAAAGTTATTTTACTTCAAAATAACAAAAGCTTGTAAGGTAAGAGTTGTTATTGTAGCTGCCTGAGGTTCCTTGCAATTAATTTTGCTTTCTTAGTTGACAACAATGATCTTTTTTTACTCAATAGCTAATAAAACTTACATATTCTTGAAGGAAAATCCCACTCTCTTCAATCTGTACTGGTGAGTAAATTTCATCCATGCAAAAGATCTATTCCTCAATTCAGTAGCACGTAGAGCTTAAGCTTATCCCATCCACAGCAACAGCTTCTGGTACTAGCCATTCAATTTTGCTATATGCTATCACAACTAATAGCATGACATTATCTTTCTAAACATGAACTGCAATTACCCCCTTTAAAAGGGAAAATCTGTTACTCATGTTGTTTAACTGCCCTGTAAATTCTTGAAGCAGGCCTAACAATCCCAAGCAGAAAGAAGGAGCAGCAGCATCAGCCAGGATAAAGCAGACAGACCTTCCCCAAATCACCGTAACAAAGGTAGCATCAAGCTAAATCTTTTGTTTGTGCTGACACTCTCCCACAATCAAGGAACACCATTTGAAGAACTATAAAAATAACTCAAATCCACCTCTTCATTTGATTTTTTTGATAGTTTACATTAATTCTTTCAAAAGAGCAAAGAAAAATATAATGGTACAGTATCAATCATCGCTTTTACAGGAGTGCTTCATATTAATGATGCTGGAAAACCTGTATTCTCTGAAAGACCTTGTCTAACAAATGGATTCTTTGGGTGCTAGACATTCAAGTGCACTGCAACATTTTTCTTTTTGTGTGTCTCAAGATTTTCTTCAATGGTTATAATGTTGCTTTGCTCTCAGAATGTCCTGATAAACAAGAATTAAAAATGAAAAAATACTCAAATGACTATTAGTGATATTAAAATACATTAAAACATTACTTGCATAAAATTAATTGTCTGTGGCCACAGACTGAACAGAATTCCACAATATCTTATTAATCTCACATCCTGCATCACCATATACAGCTTTCAGGGGAACAGGTCATCCACTTTATGTGACTTTTGCCATTTGCTGTAGAACATGAAGACAGCAATACCATGTTCAAATAAAAATTCCAAGAAATGGCAGAATTTGCCTAAAATGTGCACGGAACACTCAGTTAATAGAGCGAAGTCAAAAAGTTTCAGTGAGGGATACAGATTCAGGTCATACTTAACGCACTAAGTAGGAAATAAAAAGACAGTGCCTACTTCAAAGTCTTTGATTTTTGTTTTCTGATAGGCAACAACAAATTAAAAGGATGTGGAATTTTAGGGAGCCAGATGAACTGGAGATCAGTAAATTCTGCAGCAGGTTAGCTACAGGCAGTACCTGAAACAACATACTCTCCCAGCTTTATTGTAGTTACCACAGGCTCACCGGGAAATGCCAACGCTGCCTATTGTAAGTAGTACTTGAGAAGTAACAACTAGCTCTGCTTGGCTTGTGGGAGATTAACAACAAATTGTGAGCTCTTTCACATTTATCCTGCTTGGTTTTGCACGGACTCTATTGTGGGGATCCCTTTTCTTTTAGTGTTTGCCAGTTCTGCCTAAGTTTTTGGATTTCCACGCAAAGACTTAAATGAAGGAGCATCTGAAGGCATTCTGCAACTCTGTGAAAGCCTGCAGCCCATGATAACAGCACATTTTGAAGTGCAGGGATGCAGGGCATCTATATAGTAAATTATTCTTTCCGGATTACTTATATAATATAATGATGTGTCTTTTGGAAACACTATTAGTGTACTAGTGTGAATCTTCCCCAACACACAACTGTCATGTAACATTCCTGTAAGGCAATGGAATGAGAATTTACAGCAGGCTAACAAGTGTCTCTCTGATTTAGCGTATCTGACTCAAGCCCAGTGCACACTGGCTAGCAGAAGTTAAAATTGTCTCAATAACGCTGCTATTTTAAAGAACTGGGATCCTTCTAAAATAACTAGATGCTGCTTGAACTACGATGAAGACTCCTCTAAGTTTGAAAACAGAGGAAAGCCAGCCAGCTGGTGGCACAGCAAGATAAAATACCAGGACCTGCATGTGCCTGGCACGCATTCTCTTCCTGTGATCTGACCAGCTTTACCAAGCCCAGCCACGTGCACCCCAGGACTGAAACGCAGATCACTGATTTCCTGCTTTGGAAACCTGACATGTTACTGCTGTCTTTGTGGCAAAAAGTCTCCGAGACAGCCTCACTGGAGAGTTGAATAAAGATCATATTCTTGTTTATTTGTGCAGCACTGTAGCCAGAGATGCATGTTACCTTATTTTAAGAACTGTATGAAAAAGAATAGAACAGTTTGACAGCTCCAAGACTGAGCAACTCCTGTATAACTCTGTGCCACCTCTGAATGAAAACTCCGTCATGAATTCAAATATTCCTGAATTTCATGCTGTCAGAATCACTATTACTTTGAGGAAACAGACTCAAAAGGGTAGGTTTTTTTGTACATTTGTGGATATTCATTCAGACAGTGTAAACTGAGATTTTCTTTCCCAAAAGATGCCCTTCTTACCTGAGACAAAGAATACAGGGCTGGCAATGGTGGCTGGCTCATAGCAACGTAAACCCAGCCACATTTGCCCTAACAGAGTAAGGTGAGCCCAAAGTAGTAATGCTCATAGTTGACAGAAAATGCAGAAATGCTTGCAGTGACCAAAAATGTCTCTGAACTGTGCCTAGTGTGCATTAGATCACAGCTTCCACTGTGCCAATTGCCTGGGAATGGTGTAAGTTACACGAGTTTACTCAGATGGTACTGCCAGGTAACAAAACAAAACAAAACAAAAAGAAAATTCAGGATTGCTGCAATTTACTTCTGATAAGTCTGTAAATTAAGAAAGGGAAAATGCTTCATTGCATACTTCAGTAACTACACCCCAGCCGTCTATTCTGAGAATAACATTTACCACCCCCTCTCCCACATATATAGATGGCATCATGTAGAAAATGGGTATGATCCTTAATGATCCCAGTGGTTTTGAGAACTGAAGTACTGCATTTGTCCTGAAGCCTAATTCCTTCTCCTTCCAAAAGAGATCTTTGGTGACACTCTGAATGTCCCCAGGTGGTTGTCTTTCCCTTTCTTCTTCTTCCTGTCCTCACACAGTATGTAAAAGTCTGCACTGCATAAGCTGATGGCCAAAAAGCACATGTCATGGTCACAGAGGTGGCCATCGTGCTCAAGGTAGTGTCACGATAAGAGAAGATGCCTTTATGTCTGTTTATTACTTGACCTACCCCCATTCCTCTCTATCATCCAAAGGTACTACCAATAAAAACCACTTTGAACATTTACTATTTTTTTGTGTTAAAAATTTATGTGGTGAACAGGGCTTAAGAGTTTGTAACCACTGAATCGCACGAAGGACAATAAAACACATCACAAAAAATATCTGATACCTACTCATACCTGTCCTCTTTCATTACTGTGCTGAGAAACACTTGCACGGCCATCAGTACAAAAGCATCACTGTCAGCATCAACCCAGCAACAACCCCTATTAGGCACTACCAGGATCAGTATTGATCTATATGGTTTTAATGTTTTCTTTACTGCCAGATCTTGAGTTATGACAACTGTGTGGTGCATGAAGGTAACATAAACCTCTGCGATTTTTGGAGTGGATGCATCCCCTAAGTGAAAGTTGTAATGAGTCAATTACTCACATAGAGGTGCCTACAGCCACATATCCCTCTACGTGCGAATACCCAGTGAGAAGGATGTGAACATCAGACATTTAAGACACACCTCTCCTGCCAATATGAAAGCTATCAGACTATGTTTACCATAAAATTATGCCACAGGTCTTCAAAACCTGATGTCTACAGCATGCTGTGATGAGTTGTGAGAAGACTCTTGTTCCAAAGGCTAGAGGGAGTTCTCTCTCTTTTGTTTTGAAGATGATAGAGTTCCTTCAAGAAATCAGTCAAAATCTTGAATTTCAATCCTAGACTATACAGAAGTTAGAAGACTCGCATTTTTCTATACCTTGAGGAGGGAACCAATAGGATATGGATTTTCTAGCCTTCATGGTCTTGCACAGGTACATTTACATATGTATTCCCACTACAGATGAGGACAACTTTTATTTATGTGAGTTCAATATGCACTTATTCACAGGATTCATTCTAAAATATATTAAAATATTTTCATTTTTAATATCAGCAGAAACTGAAGTGAGTGAAAGCATCACTGGGGCTAGACAGGATTTTGACCTGTCTTCTAGGACACTTCTGATTGTTCTGATCTACTGCTACTTTAATAGTGTGTTTCAAAATCAGTGTATCCTGATTTTATCTCAGAGGTTTTTTTTCCTCTGTTTCACTGTTTAGAAGTCTTGTCTCAGTACCTAAAAGAAAACTAAACTGAAATAAATGCATAGTATGAATTCCCTATCTCCCTTTCTCCCTCCCTCAGCAAATAAAAGAAAAAAATCTGGACTGGGATGAAACACACCAATACATGGAGTCTGGCATTTCAAATAATATTATTGAAGATAATGTGAAATGAAGGTGGTACGTACGGGCTATGTTGAAGTGGTTTGTTACAACAAATGCCTTTTACCTTAACTCAGTACCTAATGTAGGGAGCAGAGAAACAACAGTCTCATTAATCTTCCCAAGTATCTTGGTATTCAGCCATCTTAAGAATTTTAAAAGAATGGGAAGAAATTATTCAACATTTTCTGTATAAAGTTGATAGTTTCAAAACCTTTGTGTTGGGACACCAGGCACTAATTGCGAACATCAATACATGCTTCAGACAATTCTCCATCCTATGGAATATCTGTTTACACAGAAACAAAAAGTAGTGTGTGGAAGGAGGAGTCTTACCTGGAATTTTCAGAAAATTTCTTAATGTTCTGAATTAAGAACATCAATTCAGGGGAAAAAAAAAAAAGTCTAAAACTTCCTCAAACTCCTAAAAGTTAGAAGGCGATTTTTACCAGTTTTCACAAAAACCTAATCTTTCAGTGCACAAGCAAGCCAACTTTATTCCCTTATTTCAGACAAGCATACACCTTCAGGAGAAGGGCAATGATTACAGAAGTATCGACTATTTAGTATTTGATCTTCTGGAACAAAATAAATATTTGAAATCCATGATGAAACGCTTTTCAGTAACTTTGTTCTTCAAGTAAGATTCATCATCAAAATCTGTAAAAATCAGCAGCAGAGGTAATGGAGAGTGCCAGAAGTTGACCTCTGAGTGACAATTAAAAAGCAGGAATTAGGAATAGAAAACAGAAAATTAAAAAACACTGACTAGTGAAAAGATAGACAGTCTGTTACCTCATCATCATCTGCATCATACTGTGCATAATGCTGCTCCAGCAGCTCTCTCTGGCGGCGTTCTTGTTCTAGAGTTTGGCTAATCAGCTGTGCAACCTCACTCACTTGTCCTGGTTTTTCTCGTCCAATTACAAACCTATACAAAACATTAGTGGAAAAAATATTAATCCTGTTGCTTTACCAAAGTTCTAGATTTTTTAGCTGTGTATTGTATAGAGGGTAGCCTTTTTCTCCAAAGATACATGGCTGTGATCGTTTGAAATGCATTCTGTGGATGACATTTGCCAGAAGGGCACTGTGTGCAAGACTAGGAGTGAGCAGACCATGACAGTATTTACATGAGGGGAAAAAAAGAAGCGACCGCTAAAGCCTTCATTCAAAGTTTCAGCAAAAAAGATTCTCTGACTCTGAATTTTAAGGACACAGACGCAGAGTAGGGCAATTTTTAAAAAATGTACCATCACTTCCATTCCCTTTAGAGCAATGTATTTCCCGGAAGCCTATGGAAGGCGAGATGCACAGTAGCAGCACAGGCACACTTCTGACAGCTCATGGTGAAAGGAACATGCACCAGAGTAACTTCTTTCTTCATCTGGACTTAGGAGATATTTATGAGCTATTATATTTGCCTTCCTCCTGTCTATAATGGAGAATCTATTTCCACATTTTAAAATCTTACGGACACTTACGGACACTAATTTTAAGCTGCATTTAAATCTTTCTTTTATTTCATTAACTTCTGTTGCTAAGGAGCGTTTTTCTCCACTGTTAGCTGTTGCTGAACACTGGGAGCACATTTCTTTGGCTTAACAAAAGAGAAGGGAAATGCCTCTTTCTTGGTTGAGACTTACACGACTGCTTCCCAATCTTGCTTTCAGCGACTGAAATTCAGAATCGTCTTGGATTGTAATACTTTTTCTCAGCACAGGGGCATAACCGTAATTAGATATTTTGCTATCTATAGTATTAATTATAAACATCCATTATACAGTACCAACACACTGTAAACTGCTGAATAAAAGCACAATTTAAGGATGTCAAGCTGGAGGAATATTTTTATTAGCAGACTAGAAAGACAATTAGGTAATTACAGGTGAAAAATGTATCATGCAGAGCTGAAAACCCAAGCAGGTGACACTGAGATGCTGCATATGATAAATTATTTGTTTCCACAATATTTGGCTCAAATGATGAATTTAATTTATTATTGGAATGAGAGGTAGAAATGTGCATTATATCCCATGTAAGGAAATTATTTTCAGTAGTACTGCGTATCACTGTATCTCATGTAAGAAAATTATTTTCATTAGCACCACCTGACACTGTTAAAGCCATTTGGGATGTGGCATCCATGTGTAAGCCAGCTTCCCATGAGTGGATGACCCTGAGTTCATTTCCTATGCCAAACAATTTGTCAGACTCTATGAGTTAGGCACTACAGAAAGGAATACAAATTTTGAGAAGAAAGGAATACAAATTTTGAGATTATTTCAACATCCTCAAAATATCCAAGTCAGTAATTACTTCCAAAAGGATAAGATAGGTGAGAATGAGTGACTCCATTTGAAATAATGATACAAGGTGTTCTGAAAATAATTTGCAAGAAAGTGTCTTAATTTAAAAACATTTATATAAAATACAGCAGAAACTAGAACAAAATCAAGGAAATAACATCAACATTTTAATCCTGATCAAAACAGATCACAGTCTGGCACTCATATCTTACTATTACGAAATATGACATTGGTTCTCAGTAATGATAAAGACCTTGAGCTGAAAGAAAAGGAATGTTTCTTCACAGCCCCTATACCTCATCTGTTCTGCATACTGACTCATAGTTGGATCCTGTTTCCTCTGAATTTTAATTTTAGAGCCAAGCATTACAAAGACTAAACCAGCCATGTTTTCAGTCTCAGCTGGGAGGAACAATGAACTTTTGATATTACTACATGAAGTAAAAAAGGATTCAACCCATATTTGCAACATATTTGTCTCCTCTAAAGTAAAAACAAATTAAACTTAAATATGGAAAAAAATAACTTCTATTTTAAACAACCATTTTACTCAGTATTATGCAATAATGTATTATTTATGCACGGTAGAGAGAGCAACACGTTTCTAAACACATGAGGGAGATCACCAATGTGGTAAATTATGGAAACATATAAAGTGATGCAAATATCGTATTGTCTCCTGCCCTCTGACTGATAATTCACCTCCCCTGGAAAATAAAAGACTCAAAATACTTCATACAATCATTGTTGTACACTGAAAACCTAGAACATACAATATGTAATGCACTTGAAGTCTGGTAACTCCTGATAATTTAGGAGTGGTTTTGACACATTAGACTGTAATACAGTATTTTTTTCATACAGACAAACAAGTGTAGGTAGGACACAAAAAATGTAAAAGCTTATTAATTGAATTTTTCTTCTCACACCGAAGCCACTAACAGTTTATAGTGATGTGATTTTCAAGGCTTGAATCATACGTCAAAATAAAGTTCCTCACTGATACCTGAAGCTGTTAGATGATACATAAATAAAAGCCTCAAAGCAAGGACAAAGTTTAAAGCAAATTTCTCCAAAATAGAAACAAGCAAGGATTGTTTAAATTTCCTACAATTTACTGCTTTAAAGTGAGACATTTCCAAAGTGTCTGAAAATAAATATTTAGAAGCATTCAATCTACAATTGATGTCAGTTCTAGACAAAGACAAAATAAATTTGTAAAATGGAATACTATGTTGCCAACAATTGCAGTTTTTACAAACTAAACCAAACCTTTTGTCAGGTTACAATCCATTACCTTAAGAATACCGTGCTGCATATAATTATGTTGAACTTGTAAATAAAATAAGCCATAAACTATAAATCTATAATTTAAAGAGAGATTAATAAATATTTCTCTCTTAGAAAACCACAAAGCAGAGGCTTTTATTAAAATGCTAAGCATGAATTAGATCTTTACGCCTAAAATGGCATTAAATACAAGAGCACTCATAATCTGAAGTGTTCAAATATGAAAAAGAGACATAAGGTTGCAATTCGCTGACCAGAAAATTAGTCAGTGAACCATAATATGCACACTTCAACAAAGTGGCTAATTACATATTTTGCATCACTCTGGCTCAACAAATTAAGCATATGCATTTCAGACTTGATTAATTAGTCTCAAGGGCCAAAAGTATTATAACAAAGAACTATAAATTCTATCAGCAATAATATATTTAAGAAGCTAGTTACGTTTCTGGAAATGAAACAAATGAGGGGTTTAAAGCCTTTAAACCTCATCACGATAATATTCCCCTTAATTATTAAAGCCAGCAAGTGCAAAATAAAACCCAGTGAATCTGTGGCACTGTTCTACAAGCCATCACTGTACTCAATCTCAGGCCATTACTAATTATTTCTGATGTCCACAAAAGAGTAATAGAGGAGAGAACATCACAGAGAAGCAGGGCATGAACTGACCTTGATATTCAGAGTTACACAGAATCTAGCTGAATTACCAGCTATGAAATATTCTCTTTGGTTGTGATTAAAACAAACAGGGACAGAGCCAGGAATATAACTAATATTTGACTCTATCTTGGATTTAAGAAGATCTAAAAGAATATACATCTGGAGAAACTGAAAATTAAATTACAGTAATGGTGGTTAAGAAAAGCATTCTACTGAAACTGGCACCAACTCCTACATCTCCCGCAATCCAGTCATGATGTAATGATTTTAAAGCACACCTGATATATGGCTTTCTTCGTATTTCCAGCTTTTATTAAATAAGGATCTGCAGACCTGTGCTTCTTGAAATAACAAGAAATAATTTATTGATTTTTTTTTTTTTTTTACCAACCGTGGGAACCAGAAACTTTATTATAAGAGTTGATTAAATTAAAAAATATTTCCATTTTGAAAAGAACTTTGGCCCTACAAAAATGTGTGAAGGCACCGATTCTGACAAAAACCTGAAGTTATACAGCATGGATTTTTAGTGACATGAGTTGATGATTTCTCCTAAAAATACTTCAGGCATTAAGAGCTCAGTTAAAACTAATTTAGCATGGATTCCTTCAGCAAATTCAGCAAAAATCAAGTAAAAATACAGCAGACTCATTCTAAGAAATAAAGAATGGGTATTTTTCTGTAACAAGATGCAGAATTTTTTCTTCTAACCTTTCCTAAAATATAGTTAGGTCCATAAAAATGTACAGTAAAACACATTGTATTTGGGAGAGTTTTACAGTTGGATTTGAAAAACGGTTTTCCTCTGAGCTTTAAAGCACAAAGCTGTTTCTGCTACCATTTATCTAATTTATTTCAAGATGCCTTTGATTACTTACTCTGGCTGCTTCCATTAGGATAATAGCCATATAATTAATCCAAAGTGCTAAAAGTGGTGTGAACCCTGTAAGAAGGCCGTTTTATTTAGTTACAGCAGCGCAAGCTGGAACTTGTCAGGGTTGTTCAGCCTGGAGAAGAGAAGGCTCTGGGGAGATCTTATAGCGGCCTTCCAATACCTGAAGGGGCCTACAAGAAAGCTGGGGAGGGACTTTTCATAAGGGCAGGGAGTGACAGGATTTGGGGTGGCCCTCCTCTGGACCCGCTCCAACAGGTCATGTCTTTCCTGGGCTGAGAGCTCCAGAGCTGGACACAGCACACCAGGTGGGGTCTCACCAGAGTGGAGTAGAGGGGCAACTGAAATTTATAGGCTCCCTTTGACTGGACGGCCTGTGGTAGAGACCAACCACAAGGTTCCCTTTGTTGCCTCGGTCTCTAATTCTTACCCATGCGCTTTGAACCTGCTCGTGACTATTCAGAGACACACTCAAGGTCTTCCTCAGCAGTATCAATGGTGTTGGTGGACGAGCAGCAAAGCAATAGCTTAAACACCCGAAGAACCTCAGCATCTTCGATACAAGTCCCTGATAAGCTATGCTACTATCAACACTAAATGGATATCGAGTCAGACGATTAGGAAGTCATGTAAAAAACCCACACACCAATATTAATGCACTTAGATTAATTATTCCTGCAGAAATCAATTCTAGCCTAGGGCCTCAGTAACATTATCTTTATTCAAGAGTACTTCAAAATTAGCCAAGGCATTCAATGTTTTGGCACCTCTCCAGAT